ATACCACCCAGTAAACTTCTTATTTTTGCAGTCTTTTTAGAAATTCGAATTTCTTATTTGTGCGCGAAAAGCACTCATTTTTGCCTTCAGGTTTTATTTCTCACTTGGAAGAACCTTCATTATCATTGATTCGTCTCTTATTTTCACATCCATTATTTGTTTGTAATTTTCCGCCTCTTTGTATTCTTCACTATCTAATTATTTACACACATCTTATTACAATATTTTGTACCGTCTCTCAAGGAAATTCTCGTATTATATATACATATATATACAGGGACATGTGGCAGTTTTTTGGTGCTTACCATTGCTTGTGGGATATGCTTTTTCTTCTGCAGAATCTGGTCTTCCCCCTTTAGTAAGTAGGACTAGGACGCCGTGAATAATTAGCTTGTTTTGTTTTGTGTTGCTGACTTTCATCATGTTCGCCAGTTTCGGTGAATCCTAATATATTAAAACGTAGCACTTTCACCACGAATCTCTCACTATATGCACCCAAAATCCTTTGTTTGTGAGTTCTATGACTTTGTACGATCTGTAAATACTGTTCGATTTATATTGGAAATAAGACGATTGTGTTATAAAAACACTGTCACCTAGATTCCATCGACTTCACTGTTTAAGAACATGATCCACTACGAGGTCTATACTTTGTAATTAGTTAAGCTTACCTGTAAGGGTTCGTCTTCCTATGTATGACAAAAGGACATGACGGCCGCGATACTGCCATGTTAAAAACTTCCAACAGATTAACTCACAAGTGCTTGCATTTACTTCAGAATTTATTCCAAAGTCAACTATGAACATTCAATCACTGTCCTTGTATTCCAGATGGGCGTAACTTATCTTTTCCAGTCCCAGTGCAACTTTTTTTGTGCTAAAGGAGAGAGTAGACCAACAAGTAAAGCTAGTCGTAATCATGCATCTTGACTATAGCGCTTTCTGGCTACTGTCTTGGCTCCAGTAGCTTTCTTAGTCGATGTCATGACACCACGTCTGATATTACTTTATATTCTGAACATGATGAGGTTTCAAACAAACGCGGTGTGGTTCTGTAGATCAAGTAGATTCTAGACAATAGGTACGGAGCACCAATCGAGCTAAACTGAAGTCTTGAGTCTCAGTCCTCAGTGATAAGGGTAATGAGTTGATGGACCTGTGTTAATCTTTGCGTCTTGCCTTCCAATGAAGTTTCAAGTCCTTCCTAAAGATTTCCAATGATATGACTGACACCACTTGTTTGAATAAGGAATTCTGGTCACTGATCACTCGATGAGAAAAACAGAACATCGCTATATTATCTCATTGTGCTATTTCGATGGTTTACAAGTTAGGACAATTTTGAGACCAATTTGAAAGAAGTACATAAGGTAATATGACTTTTGTGGTTAATAATTATTTTTGTAGTATACGCATACCAAGTACATTATGTCAGTATGTAAAAAGAACAATCATGACTAAACTCTAAAGTATTTTTTCGTGAGATGTCCGTACATATGGACGTAAACGCAGTTCGTCAGAGCCAGATGCTTGTGTTCAGGATGTGGATGATGATGGTGATCATCATTATTTCGAAGTGCATACAACTTACCGGTGACATGTATTAAGCCTGCGCAATCATACAAACAACGGTGTCGAAAGTGCTCATAAACACTTAAAACAATGTCTCAGAAGAGGTGATTCTATGCTACTGACGTTCTGGAAAATTTGGAGTTAAACAGACACTGACCAACGTTTGTGTCCATATAAGGGATCTCCAGCGTTTTCTACTTCTTGAGGTAAGAAATATAGTTAAATGTATCATTAATTCCAGGTTCCAATGTCACTTCGATAGCTTCACGTTCAGAATCCTTTGTTAACACTGACCATAGGTATGCTTCTTGCTAACAAGAAGTTGTAATATTGTTATCTTTTTAGTTTTACATAAATCCATTTATGTGGGCACTAACTTGTTCTTATAGCGTTACGGCAGGGAGAGTGTATTATGCAGTCTTATGTGCCTGTGAGACAGGGGTGTTTGTTCGTGTTCTTGCGTAATAATTACCAGTTTGGCACACACGCGATTAGCCATACTGCATAGTGTACTATACTACAAGGTCGAATTTCGACCTGTCACGATAGATAAGCATTGCCGTAATTGATAGACTGATGCGTTATAAATGAAAACGTCTAATAAGGTTTAAATCCAGCACAAATGATCCATCAATGCTAACTTCCAATTCTTGAGAATTGTTCCAGTTAGGTCTGTGAACACTTGCGAAGCCAGCTGGAAATAAGATAGGCAGGAAATAATTATTTCATTATAAATATTTACCAGAGACTAATATAGAAACAGAAACCGGTATTCAATTACAGATCGAAAGTGAATTAGCACACCTTTTCTTTGGATGATCAGTCACGATTATTTGCTTTATCTCTTGCGTTGCTTAGGAAAGCCTGGGTCACAACATACATGGCTTGTATTATTTAGTTCTTGGAACAGGTTGTACTTCGGAAACTTAGACAATGAACATGTATAAAGACTACTATGTAAACTTACTTTGAATCGTCTTATGTAATCTGTAATTACTGATGCTTATTTTACTTAAGTCACACGTAAGTTATAAGTAATTGTCATTTCCGGTATCAGCGCGTAAGCTAGACAGGCCTTCGTTGATTTTCGAAGGTCATCACATACGATCTCAGACAATTTGGTAACCTGAGATTAAGATGTTTTGATTATTAAACCGTACATTTCAATACTCTTACGTAACCGCTTTATAATAGTACTTATTTCTGCTATTAGCTATCTTTGCAAGAATACCGCCAGCCTAAACATTGGAACTCCGTACAAGAGGTAGTAAAGATATGTTACTTTAGTCTTTGGTAAAATCTTCACATAACTGTACCTCTTACACACGAGTCTGATTTATTTACTGCAATATAATGATTTGGTGGCTCATATATCTAACTGTAGAAGGTGATATTAACATCTTGGTATGTGTGATAATTATCAATAGCATATGCATAATATTTACAACCCTAAGGACAGCTAATATTTTCACTATTAACCTATTTCTGCCATAAAAGTCGAACAAAACAGTAAAAATCAGCCAGAATTGTAATAATGAAGGGAAAAAGATCAATCTTATCATGGTATCGTTACTTGTAGCGCATTTTTGGTAGCCTTGACGACAATACAATTTTTATGACGATATACGCTTGGATCATGTTGTTTCATATAAAAATAAATGATTTGTCTACCCTCAGTGTAAAGTCAGGTGGAAATAATTACTAGTCTGTGATTCAAATACGGAAAAACTATTATATCAGCGCTTGAATAATGAATTTTCAAGGACTTCGCGATACTATGTACCACAAAATGGAGAAACCCCTCTTTACTTAATTATGAAAACGGAAAATAAACATTCAAATCTATTTACAATTAATTTCAAATTTTGTGCACAAAGCCGAAATGAAAAAGTAGCTGTACTTGTCCGAAACGATTGTTTTCGTATGTTAAATGGGAGAAAAAACGTAATGATGGTATTCCGCCTTACTGTTACACGAAAATTCAGAATTACTAGGGGAATCAGATCGGACAAAAGCTGAGACTTTTTCAAATTATTTTAGCGAACTCTACTCTAGGCGTATTGTTACAAATACTCTATCACTTTTAATATAGCCTGCAATGATGCGAGAACATTCTATATCTACGGTGGACCAAGTTTCTGTAACAACAATTATATCGCGATGCTTTTCAATATGTCTATTTCACTCGCTCAACTCTCTAGAGGTTGGAAAGACGCTATAGTCTGTCCTATATTTAAGTATGGTCAGAGACAGGGCTGTCAGTCTAACCAGCATAATCGTTAAGTTACTTGAATATATAGTTCGGGTTAAGTTGCTGAGTCACATAGATACACAGAATCTGTCAACTCCAGAGCAACATAGGCTTCGTAACAAGCGTTCATGCTTGAGTAACTTATTGCAAGAGAGGATTGAACAGGAGCCATAAATAGAGGTCTGTCTGTCGATGTAATATTCATAAATTTTAGCAAAGCATTTGACAAGGTTTCACATTTAAGTCTTATTCAGAATCTCTCGAGCTTTGGAATAATAGGTACGGTACAAGAGTGGATAGGAAACGTTTCATGTGACCGCAGAATAGGCTCGACTGTCAATGGGTCGCTATCCGATTGGAAGCCGGTCAAGAGTGGTATACCCCAAGATACCATCTTAGGCCCTCCGCTCTTCCTTCTCTACATGAACGAGTTAGCTCTGTTGCTTGAGTCGTCGACATTATTGTTTGTGGATGACGTGAAAATCTGGAGAACACTGGGAAGTGAGTTTGATCATTTTGATCTCCAAGCTGAATTAGACGAATTAGTTAGGGGGCCTCGCGGTTGGGGCTTAGAAATAAATTCTAGGAAGGGTGTGTTAATCAACATAGGTCATTGTAATAGTGACCATTATACCATTGATGGTAAACCTCTTCCATGCGTTCAAGAACATAAAGACTTAGGAGTAATAATAGGTCACTACTTGTAAACAACTACGCATTGCAACGCGGCTCCCGTCAAAGATTTTTGTGCATTTTGGTCATTTCGCCGAGCATTCAAATGCTTTGACGACGAAATGCTTTAAATTTTACATCACACTTATGCAAGACTGCATTTAGAGTATTGTATATAAGCAGCTAGCCCATGTCTGGTATAGGATACGAACTCACTTGAGCGTGTAAAGCGTGTGGGAACTAAACTAGTGAAGAGTCAGTCTAAACTCCCTTACGATGGGCGTTTAAAACGCCTAAACCTTTTCCCCTTGTCGTATCGTAAGACTCGAGTTGACCTTATACTGGCATTTCGTATCTTTAATTTTAATTTGGGTGTCAATATGTCTTGTCTTCTTGCTCCCTCCAGCACTAATAATCTCTAAGATTATAGCAAGAAAGTTCGTAAAGCGCGATCTAATAAACTTAAAGTGGGGTCCTATGTTTCCCATCGAGTAGTCAATGGTTGGAACGCCCTACCCGAACAAGTGAAGACTGAACAAGACAGCGGGTAACTTTGAGTGGGTGGGGTTTTTGTCGTGCTGCCGATTTACTCGGGAGGTTTGTAGCAAACGAGGCATCTGCGCACGTCGTCCGTGTGCTATTTTTGTATTCTTCAATGGGCTGATTATTTACCAGAACAAAGTTTCTACAATGCCTCGACATCGTCTAATTTTTCATTATCCCCATCTCCCAAGTCTGGGGAAATTTTGGGGAAACCCCCAAATTCAAATGACCTTCACCAAGGTTTAAGAGAAGTATCGGGGGATTTCCTCAGATTTGAGGAAATCTTAAGGTTTTCATCTCATTTCCCTAAGATTTACTATAGCGGCTTACCTTAAATGGACCAATTTTTCCCCAAAGTTGGCAGCTTGGGTTTCTATAGCGGCTTCCCCAAAATTGAGATATTGAGTTTGTGCGGTAAAAATACCTCATTCTTCAGTAGTAAACATAATAGATCTATCGACCTATACTAATCCTTGCAGTTCGTAACAATGTAGCAGTCCAGACTCAGATTTGTGTAATAAGGACAAATTGCCTATGGCTTGTGTTATTCCTTTGCTAGTATGCTTCTGTGAGTGTCCAGTCTTCTCTTGAGTGAGTCAATTGAAGGTGCGGACACCACTGATTCAGGTAACAGGTTTCAAGTATTGATGACTCAGTGTGAAAGCTTGTATGACACGGGTATTTTGTTCGTTCTTGACTTTCCTACTCGCCTGCTATGTTCTCTGAGATGTCCCGATCTAGTGGGAAGAAAAAGAGAGAATATGTTAGGTCCAATATCATTTCTCAGTATTTTGTACATCAAAATTAGACCTCCCCTTAGTCTGCGATAGGGCAGAGTAAAGAGGTCTAGCTTTTCCAGTCACTCTGTATGATAAACCCCAGAATTCTGGAATTGCACGGGCAGCTGCCCTCTGTAATTTTTCAAGGATATCCTAGTCACCTTTTAAACAGAGGATTACAGCCTAAACGCATTTCTCAAACTTATTTCTCACAACGGTTGTGTATACTGCAGTAGTATCTAACTTAGTGAATGTCCGTTTTAAAGCACAGTGAGTTCTAAACCCCGTAGCTGCGACCTCCCGGCATTGGGCCGTCGTCTTAAGATCATGAATCACTGTCACCCCAAGATCCTTATGAGACCGGACCACTGGTACTGGCACTTCCTCTATGCTGTACCCATTAACCTTTGTATCCCCATACTACATATAGACACGCTTTGCTGCGTTGATAAACATCAGCCACTCTTTAGACCACTTAATCATATTATTTAAGTATGCCTGAATTGCGCATGCATCTGCGTCTCCGGTTATTTCTCTCCAGATTTTAACATCGTCAGCGTATGATAACATTGGAGACTGTACTATACTTGGGAGATTATTTACACAGTATAAAAATCTCACTTTGGATATATCAACAGAAGGTGCTGATGTTACTTGTCCTGGCAGAGAATTCCAGTAACTCAATGCGAGAAACGGAACTCCAGACATAAACGATTTGACCTCGGTTTTTTGAACTTTCTTAGAATTTCCTCTGTAATGATCAGTCCTAGACAGAAGGAAAAGATAATACATGTTATTACCAAGGTCATCGCTCAATATGCAGTATCATAACGAAAATAAGTTGAGGTGTCTCGGTCTGTCTCCCTAAGATAGGCTGGAGAGACCTCTTACGATTATGGTCCCTCGTCCCAGCATATCCGCCTCATTCTTGAAGCAGACTCGCTGCCTGAATCCCATATTACAAATGTGGCCTCACGGAAGTCGGGTATAATACTCCAAGCACTTCGTCCAAGTGCTGAGAAGACCTATTAATGTCCCATAATACCCTAAAGCTTTTGGCCGCAGCAACCTTGCAGTTGCTCGTAGTTTTGAGCTCGCTGCTTATCATGACTCCTAGATCTTTATGGTCCATTACTTTAGGTAACACAATTCCACATATTGTGTATTGTTATGAATTGTCATAGTTATTTAACCACACCTTCGAACTATTATTAGAATGATCGCCTGCTCATCCATGCAACCAATGAATTGAGATCATCCTGTGATATTATTCCATCTGACTTACTGTGTATGGGTCTCTGAATATTTGTCATCGGCGAAGAGTAGAACGGATGATTTTGCTGCAGTTGGCAATTCAATTACATAAAGTAAAAAAGAAGAGGATCAAGTGTTGTATCTGGGGGAACTCCACTTTTGCATGTTCTCACTCTGAGAGAACTCCTTTTACCCTTTACCACTGTCTCCTATCATTGAAAAAGTCACCTATCCAGTCCACAACTTTACGATGGATTCCAAAACTTCCCATTTTCGATATAAGACCCGAACGAGACCATGCCAGAGGCTTTACTTAGATCTATGAAAATCACATCTGCAGGAATATTTCCATATTTTGCTGTAATTTCAGACTTTTTCATTGATTGGAACACATAAATATTGGTACAAAGGCACCGAATACACAAGTCATGTGATTTATGTGTGGGCTGCGATACTGCTCGAGTGGTCAAACCAACAAGTAGATTCAGCTCGCTTTCATCAGTATCTATCATTGTTACAGTTTTAACTTAATGTAGATTTAAAAATGCTCGATTGATATAACCCCTGGTTTAGTACCAAGTTATTATTTATTGAGTGCATTTAATTTAGAAGAGGCAAAGTATTGTCAACAAATATTGGGTTGTTTCACATCTGCAAATGTTTCATTAGGTGCATTAACGAGAAGTTTCGATTAACGGTACATGGTAATGGGCAGCCTAAAAATAACCCGGAAAATTGATATTTCTGGTTCACAAGTCTCATCTAGAAACTTTCGTGTCAAAATTACCAAGTGTGGTGTGTGCGCTTCTATTGTACAGAAGGCTTCAATAGATAGATAAAACAGACAGTCTGTTATGTACAAAACTTGTGTTTTGGTTCTTATTATCATTTAAACAGGATTCATCCCATTTAATTTCAAGGTTTTCCAAACTTACTCAAGAATTTAATACCACAGGTTTCTGTAATTTTTCTCCAAATTGGTTATTAATATAAATACCATCATTTGTCTTGATCGAACGAGTCAATAATAACACACCGTTCGGATGACCTAGTGTATTCTGTAGTAAAATGACTCATGAAAAAGTAGGAGAAAATCCGATACAACTTAACAAGATCTCAGTCATACATTCTGGCCGAAGACATAATGAACACAAATGTCTGACTAATTGAAATGTAGTTTAGCTGATGAGAGTACTTGATCCACTATCTATCAGCAATATGTAGAATTACCGGTGAAGCGATGTTTTATAAAGATATTCATAAAAACTACTTGTTTGAGAAGTGACTAGTAAACTTGTTTAAATCCTTTCTTGCAACCAAAAGTCTAATCGTGAAGAGTGCTCACATTTCTACGGATTATATCAACTAAACAACCATTGTTGACTAAAAAAAATTTGAACCACCATTTCTAGAAGTGAACGTAATATCTGGTTGGCTAAATCTATAAGTATATTCGAATTCAAACTAGTGATAAATAGATCTCAAGTAAGTAACCAAACTTCAGTGTTTTTCAATATTTCAAGTGTTTCTTGTGATTTAAATTTACAGATAACCGAATTTTTTCAAGTTCTTCAACTCAGTGCTTCAATCACTGCACCCCTACCATCTCTCAGTAGGTGCATCTTACCCAATCCTTGAAGGGATCACCTGTCATGTCGAACAAACGCAAATCCAACACAAAAGATGAATCATCTGATTCTTCCCTCTCAGATCTCGAGGAGGTATTTTTATACATTATTTATTGTACTTTTAGCCTGTTGTATCTAAAAAACCTAACAAGTCAAGTGGCTCCACAAAGTCATCACACGTGACTACTTCAAGTGGAGACCAGCTAATAGACTTAACTGGGAAAAAGTTCGCGTGCGTAAGAGAGTTCAGAGGAAAAGCGTTTGTCGATATAAGGGAGTACTATGAAGACAAATCCAGTGGAGAATTAAAACCTGGAAAGAAAGGTAAGCGAACTCGTCCTACCAACTATAGAAATACAATGTATGTGCGGCTAAACACATGCAGAAAAATTAAACTAAACAGTAAATTCAGCATATCGATGCATGCACTTTGCTTTTTATACATATCAGATTTTGTTACGTATAACGCTATTGCAATATGTAATTGCTTAACTTAATGCAGTATAAATAAATCACTAATTAGTGATCTCAGTCAGTTATATGAAACTTGCAGCCTGATACATTTGCGTCAGTTCAAGTTGGCACAGCACAGCTGGTGGTCTGAGTCCCGTAGAAAAGTTCTGACTTCCTGCTTACAGTCCATGGATTAAGTCGCAATTAATGGTGGGAAACGATATGATATGGCAGTTGGAATCTAGGGATACTTATTTCAGGTCGTACATCGGTTATGACTGACTAATATGGTTCAAAGTCTCACCAGCACATAAAATCATTTATTCAGTGCTAGTCTATATATCCTTCGTTAAGCCACCCCTTGTCTGATAGCTAATGATGAAAGACAGGTACATAAACTGTTGTAGTTGAGATGAGGTTCAAACATATAACTTATGGACCTTAAGTTGACTCATATCTTGCAGACTCAAGCCTTTTATAACAAATTTAGATCAGGTAACCGGATGTTAACCTTTACAAAAAACATTCTCATTGTCGGGTACGTAGAATTGTTCTTGGTAAATTGTGTGATTACTTATTTATCATGTACCCCTAAATTTTGTTCATAGGAATTTCCCTTAATTTGGAACAATGGGAATATTTGAAAAGTTCGATTGGTGAATTAGATGATGACATAAGAAATCTGCGACGATAACTTTTCAAAAAACCACAGCTTCAAAATGTTTATATAGCTGTATTTTTGATACATTTCCGATCAGCTTAATAGTAATCACTATTGCTTTGTGAAAAATTGCCAGGAAAATCATTTTATTAAATTTAAAGATTGCATTTTGTTAGTTTTTTATTAAAAAAAATACAATTTATGGAGTCCTGTTTTTTCAACTTGATTGATTTTGTAAGATTAATCAATGCAGTCTGCAGATCTTCGACTTGTTACTCGCATATCGTGAAACGAACAAATGAGCAATGTTGAGACTAAGGCAGTAAACCTGTTCATTCATCTGTAAATTTCCACTGAACGAGATGGTTGGGATATGTTCTATGGGTGTCTAGCTACCCCCTACCTCGACGACCCATGCTTTCTAGTGTAGCAGGAGGTTGAAAAGCTAAGAAAAACGGAAACAAGTCCTTGACCGTCGATCTAAGCTATGTTGGTAATTCCAGACTACTAGGTTGGGGTCTGTGTAATATACACGATCAGTGTTCGAAGACTAGGAGAGACAGCTGATGATCACTCAAAATGGTGCCCTCCATTTCTCTGTTGATCTTCAATCCTAACACTTCATACATATATTCCCACTACTTTTTTGAACGATCCAATTTTTAGTCTCATTAAAATTACTAAGACATTACTTCGATTTCTCGCTATTCATCTTGTTATTTTCATCTCGTGCTATTGTGACGTGACATCCTGAGCCAACACATATTTGTGCCAAGCTCTATAATGATGACAAGCAAGGGTATATGAAATTCTTAGTTATCCTCAAACTAACAGTCGGAGGTATGAAAAAATCCAACAATTTGTATGACCAAACATCTCACTGAACAGTGGTAACGAGACCAACGCTGAAAACTACATGAAGGGTTTTTGGAAGTTTTAGCTGCCGAAGGGGACTAACGATAACAGCAAAGTGCCCACCAACTACATTCCTACGGAAAACAAAATCTCTCGCTATAGATTAAGATTAAAATGTCGATCGCTGCAGCCTCCCTTACGAACATTTATGCAGTATAGTTTACTAGTCTAAGCGTCGTTAGCATTTAGCTAAAACATCACAGAAAAGCTAGCTGTAAGCCGGCAGAGGTAAGCTAACTCTGTACTAGGAACGACTTATGTTTACACCTAAGAAATAATGATTTTCATACTTGGCTACAACTAGTGAAACTCTGTCATTTTTTGCACTAGAATAAACAACTCTTTTTTTTTTTAGCTTATTTAACCCTCCGCTAACGTATGATATAAACAGAACCGTAGATCATCACATCGAAACTGAAAGAGTAACTTAAAGAAAAATGTTTACTTTTCATACGTTTTGTATATATTTGCATTGAGACCATTCATTATTCCTTTCAGGATACAATATAATGCTCTCAGCACGTTTTACAACAACGGATTAGATGCATAAGTATCTTTGACCATTTCACATCACTCCATGTTGTCAGCAACAAGACACGATTCTCAACATTACCCGTCAACTGCCTCTTCTATACCACTTTAGGGATCAGTCGCACTCGCCTTCAACCATACTTCAGCCGACCTGAATGGCAAGTTGATATAAATCCTCTAACTCCTAGTATTCGACCATAGGTGTCTTTGAAGCATTGCTCGTATATCCTGAACCACCGAGTAAGTAATGCAATTGTTAGGAAACGGGTACTAGGTAAGGATGGCAAATCAATTGATGAAGTAGTGAAACTTCATCAGTTGAGATGACTGGGGCATGTGTTACATATGCCCAACCACCGACTGCCTTGGCGTGCGATGTTTTATGGTGTAGGAGTAGGTTGGAAGAAAACTAAGGTGGGCCAAACCAAAACATGGCATAAATTCATGAAGTTATCCCGACCGAAGCTGCTACCTTGACGCGGTGGTCGGGCTTGCCTATCGTGATGACCCAACCGAGCTATATTGGCTGGAATATATGTTCCTGTAGGTTCTGCTGACTGAACCATGCCAGGCAGGTCGATTAGAGAACGGTAAGACTAAAAGCAGCAACTCAAGGTCTGAGGGCGAAGTCGTATTGCTGACTGTAGAGGGGTGTGACAGCAGTAAGGTGTTTCCCTCGGACAACCAACATCTGCAGCGATGCTGCATTCCCACAAGGAGGGGGGGGTAGAAAAGGTCGACCCTAAGAATGTCATACCTCACGGATTTCCATCTCCGGCAGTAAGGCCCTTTGAAGAACGGAGCTAACACATTGAAGACCTTCCACAAAAAGGCCGTGCGCGACCGGCCTCAAGTAGTTGTCCCTTAGGCTCTGCGGTCACGCTCCTAGGTCGTTAAGACCAACACTGATCCAATTTCCTTTTCAGGTTCCTCAAGAAATACCCTTCTACGGTGTGGGCAGCCGGGAAGTGATATCAGCCCTCATAACCTTAACAGCACACTAGACTAAGCTAGTCACATTCAAATCCTTCCTACACCTCCTAATACCTCTCTTATCTCCATGACTAACCCTCCTCACGTCTCCTTATCATCTTGCACCGCTAGGGCAGACGATTCGAGTACGCGGAACGTTATTCCTGGTCTCCTGAAACCACGCTCTAAACTACACGTAGGAGCTTTAAACGTCCGAACACTATGCCAAATAGGACAACAGGCTTCCTTAGCTAGGACTTTAGGATCCCGCGCCATCGATGTGTGCTGTTTCCGAGACGCGCATACAGGTTCCGAGTAGCGTCATTCATCTGACCACCATGCCAAAATAAAGAACCGACTCGACTCACACTTCGTGTATCTGGACGCCCTGATTCTGCTTCCCGTGGCCTCGCCGGCGTAGGCATAGCATTGAGTCCAAGGGCATAACTAGCTCTCTTAGAGTGGATCCCAGTGGACAGTCGCTTGTGCGCTGTCCAATTGAACGGAACAGTAAGGATCCGGAAAGATAGGGGCCACTGACTGCGGTGCAGGTGATGTAAAAGATGAATTTTACAGAAAGCTCTTCGACCTACTCCAAAAAGCTAGGCGCTCTGATGTAGCAATAGTGGCCGGTGACTTTAATGCTCAAGTAGGTAAATTAAGCGATAGGGAAAGACACGTAGGTGGATCTTAGTGTCATGGCTCAAAGAATAGGTAATGGCGACCGTCTGTTGCAGCTATGCTCAGATAACCGCCTCTTGCAAATACTAACTTTAGGCATAAGGAAAAACATCTTTTAACATGGAGACCCCTTAATTCGTCCCGACGTTGGACCCAAATAGATCACATCGCTATCAGCCACCGATGGAGGGGACTCGATACAAGACTCGCTCATTCTGGAGCACATGCTTAGATTCAGATCATGCTCTAGTGCGAGCGCATATTTGCTTGCGTCCTATTGGACGTAGGGAAGACACTTCAAGTAAACTTCACAGGGGCCTACTTAATGATAGTCAAGCTAAGAGTATATTTCAGGAACAACTAGGAAAACAGTTAGGCAGCCATGTATGTGATGCCCACCCCGATGCAGCATGGAATGATATCCGGAAAGCTGTGGAAACAGCAGTGATATCTGCTAGTACGGTAACCCGTAAGGTTAGGGAGCAACACTGGATCTCAGCAGCATCTATCGCACTGATAGATGCTCGGAAACTCATTCCACCTAGCTCTGAACATAATGAAGAGCGGAGTCAGCTTGAGCACAAGCTGACAAGAAGTCTACGCAATGATCGTGAACAGTGGTGGGTAGCGAAAGCAAGAGAGATGGGAAAGGCAGTGGCAATAGGTAAGAGCAGACAATTGTTCAGACTTGTTAAGGAAACCGACTGTTAGCGAAACACTCTGAGAAAGATGGACATATTATACATTCTCAATCCAGGAGATTGGATCGATGGACAGAACACTTTAGGGATCAGTCCAACTGGCCTTCAGCCACACTTCGATTTCCCACGATCTCCAGTCAACCTGATTGGCAAATTAATGTAGGTCCTCCGTCTCTTTACGAAGTTGAAAAAGCCATAGGAAATCTGAAGCGAGGAAGAGCAGCAGGCCCTGACAGGTTTACTCCTGAGATTTTTAAGGATGGTGGTTCAGTATTAGCAGTGAGATTAACTGAGGTCTTAGGTAGAATTTGGGAACTGGACGTAATCCTATCTGACTAGTCTCAATCACTGATTGTGCCAGTTTTTAAGAAAGGACAAAAGTCTTCTTGTGACAATCACAGAGGAATCAGTTTGACAAATATAGTGTCTAAAATATTAGCTTCAATAATACTTCGACGCCTAACCAAAGCTCGTGAAGAACAGACTAGAGAAAATCAGGCTGGTTTTCGACCTGGACGTGGTTGTATAGATCAGATATTCACACTGTCAGGTTCTAGAACTCAGACACACATTCAGACGCCCCACAATTGTAGTATTTCTCGACCTTAAGGCAGTATTCAACTCTGTTGATCGTAAGGTTCTATGGCAGTGTTTGTCACTGAAAGAAGTACCAAAGAAGTACATTAACCTTATACAGGCTCTCTACTCGAACACAACTAATAGAGTGAGAGCTTATGGCGAACTGTCATCAGAATTGACTATCTCAATTGGTGTTCATCAGGGCTTCCCACTCTCTCCATTCTTGTTCAACTTTGTCATTGACGTGCTTTTAGAGATAACACTTTCCTCGTCTAGATTTCCAGGGGTTGAACTTCTACCGGGAGGTTCACTTATTGACTTAGAATATGATGATGACATAGTTTTATTTGGTGAAGACGCTGACAAAATGCAGAGTCTTCTGGCCACTCTAAGTAACAATGCAAGCATGTTTGAGATGGTTGGAGTCTGCGAAATGATAGACCCTGAATGACATGGCTCAAAATCGTTTGCAATGGCACAGGGGCATCCACTCTTTGTGTTCTCCCAAATTCTTCTGAATCCTTTGTGTCCCTTTTTCCTCTTTCCAGATTTATTTCATCTTATTATACTTGTTGAATAACATTTTCAAATCTTATACTTTTACTACCTCCACCACTATGGGATTTGAATCGACAATTGTATCTCTGTGCTAATATGCTATGGCAACTCGAACTGATGTGTGTACGTACGAAGTTCTATGTTGTTGCCGACCGACCTTCTATCCCAAGTCTTACATTACTGAAGTTAGTTGTCAAAATCTCAATCCGTCGTTAATTTGACGAGTTTCCGAAGATATGGTTAATTACTGTGAATTTTTCTGTAGGTTGTACATGTTATGTTGATGATTTAGATTTCTCTTACAGCTATACTTACAAGTGTCTTTCCATGATACTTATCTTTTTTTATTACATATAAATGAGGTTTAATATAAGGAATGGAATGTTAATTAACTATCCTAAACAGATAGTAAGAAAGATACTTTGATTTACATCGCATTTCTTATAGATATGACTTGTAATTAAATGTGGCTAAATAAACAAGAGACAATTACCAGATCTCATAGGGTTCAATGATAATCTTCAACAGATGTCAGTGATTTAAGCATTAAACATTAAGCAAATGGGTGGCTGGTTCGGTTGCTGCTTAACATTATTAATTTTCGCGTAACAAGGCTATATTGGCAAAATAACGTATAATGCATGACTATAAAAACAGTTCTAAACAGACAAGTTGAATTTCATTTCACCAATATAAAGTGACTATACATGTTATCTACGATATGTCTTAATTAATACGTTTTGAAATCCTAGAATGGTAGTGATTGGAAAACTGCGTATAAAGACTGCATGAAAGGAAACGACTGACGATTAAATGACAGGTTACCATAAAGTACTAATTTACATAGAATGAATTAAAACCAAAAGGTAGAAATCCACTTTACAAAAAGTCGACGAATAAGAAATAAAAGCAATTCAATGCTTGTACTGTACACAAATAAAATACAAGTGATTATCGTCATTATAGTAATAAAAACAGTGTCAGTTGAACTAATTTGCACGAAATTCGTGTGCATATTTGAAAAAACAACACATGGGGAAAGACTTTTCATACAAGTAATCACATAATTTCCAAAAGTGAACTTCAATATTACCTCGAAACAGCTCACAAAAATATTGAAGCGGATAAACATGTTACAACAGGTCAACGGTTGGGAGTCTGTCTTCATGAGAAACCACAAATGTGCATAAGGAATGTTATATGCTAATGGGAATTATTACAAGCAAAATATGTGTCATGTTGTATAGTGAGACCAGAGTAACAAAATGATAAGTGTATGAATAAAATAATCGGAGAAAAATACATTTGAATAACTGTATAAGGAAATGAAATCCTGACTGCTTAAGTCATTTATAATAATAATATTACTATTATTATTGTACGTACTTGGAGGACATAATACTACATCAAAAACATAATACATGAACTTATTTAACAATGGGACAGCTTTATCCATAAAGAAATACCTACGTTGGTGTTGGAAGGGTAGGAAGCTCAAAACTCCATAATATCATGCATCTTTGTTGAGAACAAACAACATTTCTGGTCTTGTCAAATCAATATCAAAAAATGATGGTGGATCATTCTGACATTTACGGGACCAGTCTGTAATCACTTCAGGCTCATCACAATCCATCTTATTGTCAGGAGTATCTATGTAATCTTCCACATCAGATTCTTCAAATGGTTGACATGGTATAATACGTTTAGGAAAATTGGATTGCACCTCGAATTCTGTTGGTGAATCATCCTGAGATAATATAAAATAGTAGAGCAGCTGGAAAAGAAAGATTAAAGTTATGGAGTGTACAGATGAATAACTTGATACGGTACGATCCAAAATGAAATATTTTGTGAAAAATCACTGAAAATTACCTTGATAGAATCGTTCAAGTTGAAGACGCGAGAAACTCTGGAACCACGTGGCATTTTGAATGATAACTGTACTGTAGACCCCTCTTCAAACTTAGGTGGTGGTGGTAACCTATTTTGCCATATACGTTTGCGATTAATGTGGGCTTTTTTTAGATCCTCCTTTCGTTTTGCATCTTTGGCTTGCTGTTCTGCTACTAAAGCAGCACTTCGTTGCTGTGCCTCTCGAGCAGCCACTTTAGCTCGATCCTCAGCAAGTGATGCCTCATAAGCTAAGTCTTGCTCACGCCTCAATTGAGCATTCATTTCTCGTTCACTCCTGTTAAAAGAGGGAGTGGAGCGTAATATAATGAAACTAATAGGAAGTATGACAAAATTAAGAAAACCTAACGATCAATTTTTTAGCTATATCAAAAATACAAAATTTGACAAGATATGGTTCGAACTTCGTGACCAGTACTGTAATAGTCTTTCAAGTTTCTTTATTCACCTGTGCAGTTTATACTTTTAATATATACGTTGTATGCATCAGAATAATAGTTAGATGTATCATGAAAAGCTATCTTTTTTAGAACGGATATTTATACCATTTCGATTAATACAAGCTTGGCTTGAAAGCATAAAAACAAGAGAACGCTAAGTAGTAGTTGGGCATACGTAACACGTCTTAACCAACTAAGTTGATGATTTACTACCTCATCAATCGATTCGGTATTCTTATCTAGTACCCTATTCCTAACCAAGGTAATGCTTGCTCGATGATCCCAAACACACGGTCAATGTTTTGAAAAGTGATAACATACGAATATCCTCTATTCTTAAGGGTCATGTTTCACATCCAAAAAGTTGGATGGAGGGAACTGCCATGCAGTAAAATCATCTGATTGGAAGACGGATATCCCATCTACACCACAAGTGATACAAGTTGACGAAAGCTAATGAGCCTTCTAGATAACCATACAACGATTAAAATTTGTTGCTTGAGAATTATGAATTTCATGATTTTGTATCTTCCTGAATTCATGCAACACAGACGGGTTACGTTCGTGAAATTAGTATGAAAATAGATCATTAAAAACAACAGTTAGTAAATACTGAGAATTACAAACAATGTAATGATTCTAGTAAAAGATGTATGGTAAGGGGTTTTAGAGGAATGAACCCATCCAAGACAGCGGAATATTTGATACGTTACTGAAGGAAACCCTTCAGTGGGTTACAAATAACTCAAGAATTGATTAAGCAACAAGTTTATGTTCAATTCAGTTATTAAAATTGAGTCAAATGAGAACATTTGCGCTGTCGAACTTTCTTTTACTTCATACTTACTTGCTGTTAGATTGTGAATGGATGAAAATCAGTAAATTTGGTAACCGACTACTAATAGTACAATAAAGAATGACAAAAAAATCTTGTTCCAACAAACTGCTTGTACATCCTGAGACTTGTCTGTATAGTTTTAGACAATAATTTATTTGATAAATATTGAACTTTTTTGTTATATTAAGGAGTTGATATGTACTACAAATGACAAATGTGATCTTCAGATGATACATGATTTTTTACTATTAGTAAACTATTGATGTGAGTTGAGCAGCATTAATCAAGTAGTTTAAGTTAAATAAAGTTGACTTAAATCTTTAGCACAAATTCACTCGATTATTCACTCATTAAAATAGTGATTCGAGGGGATTTAGTATAAAATATATTTTGAATGAAGGAATATCAGATTATTTGTCTTTGATTCAGTATTAGATATTGTAGACGACACAAACATCCGAATATTGGTTAGCAGAAGCAATAAGTTATTTTTCGATAACATACAAAATAATGAAATGTAGATTCATAGATTACACTGTAAGTTATATATATCATAAGAATCGGTCATAAATATAACCGACTAGCTCAATACATAGTACATAAAGCGATGGTAGATTCGATGAATTTTAAACTGAATAGTGACTTTTTATGTACACAATGATAGCGTCTATTACGATAAACTTTCCAACTACCGAATAAAAAGAATATTGATACGTCCGTAGGTAATAGAAAGGCACTAGATCACTACAATAACATATTTATTAACTATCATTCAGATAAATAGTTTATTCTTCAAAATCCACTATTCGTTTATGTTAACTGAAAACTCAAGTAACACGAATTCCATATGAAAGTAAAAAAGCACAACAACACAGTTACAATTGCATGCATATATATAGATATCACCAAGTATAGATTACAACTCAGTCAGCTACAATGTGTTACCAAACACACATATGTATCGGTCCAAGTTGCCATACCTCATTAACACAACAAGATGAACACCAAATTCATGGACGCAGTTACTTCAATGGTAGTAATATATGTAAATAATGATTGCATATAGGGCCTGATACAGGGAGAAAGAATCAGATCGTAGATAAAAAAGGTATACAGTAATTGTAATCTCATGGTTTAAGGGAAGACAAAAAGTGTATGCACCTATGCCATTGTGATCGATTCTGAGCCATGTGATCCAGTCTCCAAACAAGAGTTACGATAGTCACGCGGACCCCTCTGTTCGAAGAAATTACGAGTTCACCTAAATCTGCGAGCGGAATGAAGACTCAGAGACACAATGACTAAATAAGCTTACTATTCGGATGCGTCCCAACCCCGCTAAAGTGAGAAGTCTAGGTTCAAAAGAGGGGATATGTATTCCAAGAGCAGCCAGAAGCACGAACAACAACAAGCACAACTCAAGCGTATATATATAACATTAAAATATCCTTGGGAAACGTTACAAAATAACATATTAAAAGAGGTAACGAATCAATGATATTTAAGGTCCTCTCAGGCGGGAAATACAATACGAAGGGGAAAAATGGGCGTTTTTGACGCGAAAACAAGAAATTCAGATTTCAAAAATAAAACATTTACAAAGTGAGTCCTGGGGATCTAGCATCCCCAACATCTCCATCTAACAACAAGACCCAGACCAGAAGTTAGTAACTTTATGGACCGATGTCACGTTTTGGTTTGATCGCCCCTAACATTCTTCCATTGGTCTCTAACGCTAATCAGTATTACGCTCCGTGGTTGAGCATGCGTAGTGCGTAGCCCAGCCATCTTAGCCGTTAAAGATTCACAACCTCATCAACTGATTTACTATCATCCTCAAATACCCTTAATCTCACCTCACTCCCCGACCGCTGTTGCTACCTTGACGTGGTGGTCGGGCTTGCCTATCGTGACGAAACAGTCGAGCTATACTGGCTGGAACAATCATTCCTCAGGGCCCTACCATGCCAGACAGGTCAGTTGAAGAACGGTAAGGCTAGAATCTGTAGCCCCAAGGTCCGAAGGCGAAGTCGTACTGCTGACTGTACAGAGGTGTAACGGCAGTAAGGTGTTTCCCCAGGCAACCAGCATAACAGCGATGCTGCCTTCCCACAAGGAAGGATGGGGGTTAGAACAGATCGACCCTAAAGGTCCATACCTCACCTTATCCTACGGATATTCGTCTCACACGGTCTCAATAATTACAGAGCGAACACAAAAATTACTCACAAAAAGGTCGAGTGTGACCGGCCTCAAGCAGTTGTTCCATGGCTACTGTGGTCACGCTCTTGGAGTACTAATGTTGTGACTTTATGTCCGGCTTTTTATTACGTGATTTATCCACCAATCAAAATACGACTTATATAACCTTAACACTGTGCCAAACCAATGACGTTCGACCGGTATGAGCAGCCTACCGTCCTTATTGGTCCTATGTCCGCTTAGCCCTTCCATTTGAGTCCAGAACAACAATACCAGCTTCCACTATATGAATCCAATTGAATCATTTATTTCAGACATACTGTGTTTATATATCAATCGAACAGAACGCAACGCACCATAAAATAGGAAATAACATTTGTACACAATAAAGCCAAAAAGTGGCTATGAACGTGGGAGGCAGTAGTTAATAAACTGAACATAGCTTAAAAAGCGTATATCGTACAATAATAAATTATAGTAATTTCAATGGTTAAGATCATGAGTCAGTTGAAGCTAGACCACCATGGAAAACCTGGAAGCACTGGACGGCCGTTTCTTCCTATTGTGCGACTCCTCAGCAGTGCGCATCCACGATCTCGCCCCCTAAGAGATTCGAACCCAGGAACTACTGGTTTCGCGCGCGAGCGCTAGACCACTGAACCGGCATCCAACGGTGTTAATGTCTAACTTCAACTAATCCACGAAATTGAGCGACACATTCACCATTGTCTTCAGTGAGTTACTATCCCACAACAGACCTGGTTGAACTTTACTGGTGAGAAGTACTGACTGGTCACTATAATTTCATGAAAAAAAGATATTTTGAGTTATTTGACCTATCTTCACAGAAGTAACTCATTAACCATATGGAGATATATGTACTCGATTTTGAATAATACAGTGTTGTGTCATGACTGGTGGCACTACTTAGTTGTTCATACTGAATTAGTGTTTGAATCTGTGATCTATTACTTGAAAGTTGAGTGTTTTCAGTCAGTCAGTCAGCTACAACGTAGGACCAGGCACATATATACATCGGTCCAAGTTGCCATACCTCATTAACACAAAAAGATGAATACCAAATTCATAGAAGTAGTTCATTCAGTGGTGGTAATACTTAAAAGAAAGATTGCATATACGGATATAGTATAGGAAGGAAGAATTAGTTAGTAGAAAGAAAGATATGAAGCGATTTTAATCTCATAGTTTAAAGGAAGACAAAGAGTGTATACACCTACGCCAGTGTGATCGGTTCTGAGCCATGTCACCAAGAGTCTCCAACCATTGGTTTCGATAGTCACGCGGAACCCAACCACGTAGTCTGCATCTACCAACATGACTCAGAATAGAAGTTAGTGACTTCGAGCACTGATGCCACGTTTTGGTTTGGCCGCCACTAACTTTCTTCCAACCATCCCCAGCACCGGTTTGCATTGCACGTCGTGGTAATCGGTGTTCAGGCATACGTAACACGTGGCCCAACCATCTCAGTCGATGAAGATTCATAACCTCATCAACTGATTTACCATCATTCACTAATACCCCGCGTCGGACCTCACTATTACTTACCCGATGATCCCAGCAGACGCCAGCAATATTTCTAAGGCATCTGTGCTCAAATACTAATAGCTTACGAGTATCTTCTACTCTTAATGGTCATGTTTCGCTGCCGTAAATTTAAACAGAACGGACTGCCGCGCAGTATACTCATCCTTCGAGCTCGCCTTTGCCATAGGTGACGTAAGTTGGCAAAAGCCAAACGAGCTTTTCGAATCCGTGCTGAGATTTCGTCAGACACAAACTCATTAAGGCTGATCAGACTTCCAAGATAAGTGAAGTTGTCAACGCGTTCGACTACTTCACTCCCTACTCTTAGTTCAGGTGTTGACGCAGACCAGTCCTGAAGTAACAATTCACATGGGCTCCAGTGACCTAAGGGAACAAATGGCGTATGAACCAATCGCTGGTCACTGGCTACCATGGGATTGCATCATCGATTGTCTTTTGGATCAGACCTGTAGGTCGAAGGCTCCAGGTGTGGCCCCCTAAGAAAACCACCTGCTTCGGTTTTGAGCACCCGGGCAGTATCACAGCCATCGCGCAAACCAAATGAGATTTGTGTGGCTCATATGTATTTGGTGCCTCCTTGTACCAATATCTAAGTGTTCAAATAAAATAAAAAATAAAAATTTCTTTTTTATAAAGAAAACTTACCGGTCTAATCGAGCTGTTATTATAGCTGTTTGATGTTCATTCAGTATACTATTCAACTGATCAACAAGTTCTGATGGTTCTAGTACACCTTCTATACGCCCTAGTAACGCCATTCGTGTACTACTTCCGGAATAGACCCCACTTTCCGAAACTAATGAGAAAAAATAATAAAAAGAAAAGATCCTGTTGTCAAACAGTATGAAATTTAATCCAACCCCGCGTTTATCAACAAATTATATCTGCATAAAGCTTAAGTCGGAAATCTAAGTCCAACATTCAAAGGAATAATGTTGACAGATGAGAAACAGATTTAATCTTAAATTAAATTGAAAGCACTACATAGTTTAGTAATACATATGTATTAAACAGTGATGAGAAAAAGAATGAGAATTACTCTAAACACAGTATTTATTGAGGTGATCCTATTTGGTACCGCATTGTACTTTTGAATAAAACAGGAAAACATATATATAGTTTTGTATTCATCCCAGTCATAGGTAGTGTAGGACCAGGGACAAATATGTACTGAGCTAAGTTAATACACTTTACACATAAATAGTGACATAGAAGAGATTAAAAAGATGAGAAGTAGGAGAGGAGAAATAATGTCAACATCAACGGCAAAGTAGACAAGAAACATGTAATTCAAAAATAAAAATGGAACTTAAGAAAAAAACCTTTAAATAATATAAAATTTCAGAAGCATCGGTTTTCATATGATGAAACCGATGAGTATACAATAAGCTTAGTAAACTAAGTAATAAACAGCTAAAAACTTACTAAACTTGGATACTACTGGGTTTAAAGTTATTTGGTTTATTTATTTTTCAGGTATATTGAAAGTATTGAATGTATCTATTTTAATATGATGGACATTAATTCATAGTCACAGAACATTTTCACAAAGTTAAAAAACTTAAACTGGTTGATACCAAAACTTAGTTTGTATTTCCGAGCCTGGCTAGGTCCACAAAACATTGTATACCAAAATTAGTTAAGTATGAAACTATTTTTCAAAAATACGTTAATGTTAAATCCATGACAACTTTCTCAGTATACAATTTTAAGAACATATTCTCTAACATGATATTACATAATGGACGTTTAGTATTGAATAAGTCCGGATTAATTCATCGGCACGTGAGTGACAAATAACACTCATTTTCTACAGTCATTTATGTATTAAGTGATGTCTAATCATGATGGTTTTGGTGCTAAGATTTCTTATGCAATGGTTTCTTTATTGTAAAAGTATGTATTATGTTAGCAGTTATGTTGCCTGTTGATATCAGTTCAGCCGAAATCTTTTATCAATAATGTAGTCTCGTAAACATCTACCAGTCGACCACATTAGTTTACTGTGCATTAACTATCAAACACCATTCTATTAATCAATCAAAAATGGATCGATGGGCAGAACACTTTAGGGATCAGTCCAACTGGCCTTCAGTCACACTTCGATTTCCCACGATCTCCAGTCAACCTGATTGGCAAATTAATGTAGGTCCTCCGTCTCTTTACGAAGTTGAAAAAGCCATAGGAAATCTGAAGCGAGGAAGAGCAGCAGGCCCTGACAGGTTTACTCCTGAGATTTTTAAGGATGGTGGTTCAGTATTAGCAGTGAGATTAACTGAGGTCTTAGGTAGAATTTGGGAACTGGACGTAATCCTATCTGACTAGTCTCAATCACTGATTGTGCCAGTTTTTAAGAAAGGACAAAAGTCTTCTTGTGACAATCACAGAGGAATCAGTTTGACAAATATAGTGTCTAAAATATTAGCTTCAATAATACTTCGACGCCTAACCAAAGCTCGTGAAGAACAGACTAGAGAAAATCAGGCTGGTTTTCGACCTGGACGTGGTTGTATAGATCAGATATTCACACTGTCAGGTTCTAGAACTCAGACACACATTCAGACGCCCCACAATTGTAGTATTTCTCGACCTTAAGGCAGTATTCAACTCTGTTGATCGTAAGGTTCTATGGCAGTGTTTGTCACTGAAAGAAGTACCAAAGAAGTACATTAACCTTATACAGGCTCTCTACTCGAACACAACTAATAGAGTGAGAGCTTATGGCGAACTGTCATCAGAATTGACTATCTCAATTGGTGTTCATCAGGGCTTCCCACTCTCTCCATTCTTGTTCAACTTTGTCATTGACGTGCTTTTAGAGATAACACTTTCCTCGTCTAGATTTCCAGGGGTTGAACTTCTACCGGGAGGTTCACTTATTGACTTAGAATATGATGATGACATAGTTTTATTTGGTGAAGACGCTGACAAAATGCAGAGTCTTCTGGCCACTCTAAGTAACAATGCAAGCATGTTCGAGATGCGATTCTGCCCCTCGAAATGCGAAATGTTGCTTCAGCATTGGGTTGCATTGACACCCGAACTAATGATAGGGAGTGAAGTAGTTGAGTGTGTCGACCGCCTCACTTATCTTGGAAGTCTCATCAGCCCTTGTGGTCTGGTGTGTGACGAAATCTCAGCACGGATACAGAAGGCTCGACTAGCTTTTACCAACTTGCGTCATTTATGGCGTAGGCGAGATATCCGTCTATCAACTAAAGGATGTATTTACTGAGCAGCAGTTCGTTCCGTCCTACTTTATGGCAGTGAAACATGGCCGGTAAGAGTAGAGGATATCCGTAGGTTACTAGTATTTGATCATAGGTGTCTTAGAAATATTGCTCGTATATTCTGGGACCATCAAGTAAGTAACGCAGTTGTTAGGAAATGGGTACTGGGTAAGGATGGCAAATCAATTGATGACGTAATGAAACTTCATCAGTTGAGGTGACTGGGACATGTGTTACGTATGCCCAACCACCGACTGCCTCGACGTGCGATGTTCAGTGGTATAGGAGTAGATTGGAAGAAAGCTAGGGGCGGCCAGACCAAAACATGGCACAAGTCCATGAATTCATTGACAAGTGAACTGAGTCATATTGGTAGGTGTAGACTACCTGGTTGGGGACCGCGAAATGATAGCAACCGATTGTTAGAGACCCTGAATGACATGGCTCAAAATCGTTTGCAATGGCGCAGGTGCATCCACTCTTTGTGTTCTCCCAAATTCTAATCTTCTGAATTCTTCATGTCCCTTTCTTTTTTCTCTTTCTAAATTTATTTCACTGGATTATACTCCTTGAATAATATCTTCAAACACTAATCTTCCCGATTACTGCTTATACTCTTTTTACCTCTACCACTACGGGATTTGAATAGACCACTGCATCACTGTGCTAATGTGTTGTGGCAACTCGAACTGATGTACGTACGTACTAAGTTCTACGTTGTTACTGACTGACTGACTGAATCAATCAAAACGTGATCATTGCAAATCAAAAACCTTTCTCCATAAAGAATATATAAATATAATTTCCGTAAATTCTAATGTGATTCATTTGGACCGAATCCACATCTTAAAACGGTAGTGTTCAGGTTTTGCCAACAGCTAAGACTTAATCAATGACAAAAACTGTAAGAAACAGTTAATAACTTGGTGTATAATTAAATATTACTGCTTACTTGGTATATTAGTCAAGCCAATAACTCCAATGAACGGATATGTATGCTCTCGAAGAGTTCGTGATACACGATAACCTTCAGGAGACTCAATATTACAACCCCAAAATAGTAATTCATTGGAATTTCTAAGAAACCGTAAAACATCTTCCGACTGAAGAATATCTCTGAAAGAGGACAGTATCATCAGATTAATTATTATTAATTTAACGGACAAATTATTACATAAATGACGTAGCAATAAGTAAGAAAAGGATTTCAATATGAGATTTATTACAATACCATCTTTCCTCATTATAAACTATACAATGAGGACTAATATGTACATTGGATCTTTAGTTTGCATTTATATGACACCTGTCTTTCCTCATACTTATTCACCTTCAAATGAGTGAAAAAATTGTTTTTGATCGTGACATTGAAAAGTTTTTTTTCACCATCACCTCACATGCACGAACACGCTCCCAACTTATATGACTAAATATTTAATTTATGAAATCCTTAAAAGCAAATCAAAGAACTAAATTATTAATCTACAGAGCACTTGCTCAAACTCGAATAGTTAACCTTATTATATTGACCTTTTTCAATTTTCTAGCATGCAATATTTTCAGTGGTGGAAGAAATATATAATGCAACCAATTTCAAAAGATTCAATGTTACATCATATGATTCAACATAAAAGTCCTTAAACTCTTAGTTAAATATAACTTAATCAAAATATCATTATACTAACTAACACGGAAACAACTGAACTTGTTACTATGATGGGGGTGTGCATGTGTATAAATATAAGTGGTTCTATATAAGATAAATTCAGACAATTGGTATAGATAGAATATAAGTAAAATATTACTTGCAAAACCGATGAGTATCTTCATGTGAATCTCCATGTAAATAAACAATCAGAAATCGTAAACTTTGTTTAGCTTCTTGAACAGCATCAGCATAAGTTCCCTCGAAGAAAGGTGGAAATGAATCAGAAGTAGAACTTTCAGTTGGATTTGAATTACCATCAACGTCAAAACTAGTATTCACAGATCCGTAGGTTTCTTTGAAGTGCTGGATAAAATTTCTTACATCACCGACAGGATCTGTAACCTCTATAAATAATCAGCAATACGGATGTTAAAGGTAATGTGGGGGGAAATTGAACAGCATCTAAATTAATCAAATGTTAAACACTTTACCAGTAACAGAACCTACTAATTCAGTTGGCCTGTCTTTAAGCTAAATTATAATCACGTGATTTTAATTAACAGTTGCTTGAATGGGTGAGAAGAAACTGCGTGAATAACTCATACGTACTTGACACATTTGCAGGCTAACACAGAGGGTAGAAGGTTAGAATAAAATCCGATAGGTCAAATAAAAGCCTATGATAAAAGGTGTGTATATAGTTGGTCAACAATTATCCGACAAGAATATATAGAATTATTTACTTACGCCTAATACCCCTCGTGGAGAAGCATAGGCCTCCCACCAGCATTCGCCATCCAACATAATAATAGTCCCTAATAACTTATAGCAGTGACTATTCATTTATTCTTTTTTCGGATATAACACATATAGTCACATGTGTATAAACACTACCAGAAAAGTCCCATCCACTGCCTTTTCGTGGTGAGGGTGTTGTTCGTTAAGTGACATGGACGAAAAGCGAATGTCCAGTGCTAAAACCGGGTTAGTAGGTACGAATGATACGCCCAAAACATTTTTGCTCTCCATTTATTGCTATGAAAAGCTTGTTTTGTGGGTTTACTCGGGGACCCTGTGGCATCTTCGTCTAGTTTTGCTGAAGTTGATGGTCGCACTAAGCAACAGAGGTGAGGAAGCACTAGTAGATTGGATCCACATCAGAAGACGATTATGTGGCATTAGATTAAAGTGCCATCAAAGTAAGAAGTCAGTGTGATGTCTTTTCGTTATTCCCGTCAACCCTCAGACAGATTGTAGCTTGGGTGCAATCAATGATGAGTCCCACCACTAGTTTAGTGATCTTCAGAAAGTGTTTGACAGATATTGTAGTACTATCCGCAGATTTAAATGAGCAGGTCGTGCGTCTAGACACAGAGGAGAATCGTTCGGATGCTCAATGAAGACTTGTTGTTTGAAAGTTAGATAACGGTGACCATCTACTACACCTTTGCTCACACTACAACCTGTTGCTGGCTAGTACTAACTATTGGCACAGTCATGGCCGATGTGTCCTCTATCTCCATTTCAAGCCTGAACTCAGATTGATCACATCGCGATCAGCTACCACGGTACAAGACTGTCGCTCCTTTTGGAGTACTTATTTGGACTCCGATCTTATCTTACAACAAATTCATCATCATAAAGGGACCGATGTAAGCACATTGACTTTAGCTTCTGTTGCGACTAAATATCAAACTGATCTAGGATCAAAGCTAGCTATCAACTAACTAAAATGTATAGATCACTGGCTGGGTTTACATGACACCTTGAAAATAGAGAGTAAAGTCGCTTGTGGCGTTCCGTTTATAAGCACTGAGCTTCTACAGGTTTCTTACAACTTATTCAAGCACTTCGGTCTACTTCTGCTAACCGTCAGTTAGACAACAAATGTAGATCTTCAGGTAATGAAATTGCATGTACAGACTGAGTCTGTTGGAGTGTGCAAATGAGTTGGAAGTAGAAGCTGTATCTGGCAACTGCCGGAAGCCCTTTCAATTTATCCGAGCCACTGGTAGCAAGAAGTCTAGTATGAGTGAAACAGTCTATAAAACAGGACGCCAATCATTAGCACCCACCAACGTCTGAGACGATGGACAGAGTTCTTCGAGGAACAGAATAACTGGTCTGCTGACCCGGCGACATCGATCAGATTGTCACTTCCTTCATGATTAGTGACAATTCATCCACTTAACAGGTAGGAAGTTTGCAAAGAGCTCAATCTTATGACGCGCCACAAATCACGAGACCCAGGTGAATTACCGCCGGTCCCTTTTAAGGATAGGGGCGACCTATGGGTTATAGAACTGAATGGATTATTCGCAAACGTTTGGCAGTTAGAGTATCCCAATATAATGGAATGAATCAACAGTCGTCCCTATCATTAAAAAGGGTTTACACCACCTACGAAACTTTTATTATATTATTTGTTATTTGAACACATAAATACTGGTACAAAGGGGCGCCGAATACATATGCGCCACACGAGTTACTTGATTTGTGTGCGGGATGTGATACTGCCCGGATTCCAAAACCTGTCAGTCAGCTACAACGTAGGACCAGGCACATATGTGCATCGGTCCAGGTTGCCATATCGCATCAGCACAACAAGATGAACACCGGATTCATAACAGTGGTTAGGTAAGAGGTGGTAATATATAAGAGAAAGATTGCATATAGAGATATAGTACAAGATGAAAGAATTGGTTCGTAGAAAGAAAGATATGAAGCGATTTTAATCTCTTAGTTTAAGGGAAGACAAAAAGTGTATACACCTACGCCAGTGTGATCGGTTCTGAACCATGTCACCAAGAGTCTCCAACCATTGGTTTCGATAGTCACGCGGAACCCAACCACGTAGTCTGCATCTACCAACATGACTCAGAATAGAAGTTAGTGACTTCGAGCACTGATGCCACGTTTTGGTTTGGCCGCCACTAACTTTCTTCCAACCATCCCCAGCACCGGTTTGCATTGCACGTTGTGGTAATCGGTGTTCAGGCATACGTAACACGTGGCCCAACCATCTCAGTCGATGAAGATTCATAACCTCATCAACTGATTTACCATCATTCACTAATACCCTGTGTCTAACCTCACTATTACTTACCCGATGATCCCAGCAGACGCCAGCAATATTTCTAAGGCATCTGTGCTCAAATACTAATAGCTTACGAATGTCTTCTACTCTTAATGGCCATGTTTCGCTGCCGTAAATTAAAACAGAACGAACTGCTGCGCAGTATACTCGTCCCTTTATTGATAGACGGATATCTCGCCTTCGCCATAGGTGACGTAAGTTGGCAAAAGCCAAACGAGCTTTTCGAATCCGTGCTGAGATTTCGTCAGACACAAACTCATTAAGGCTGATCAGACTTCCAAGATAAGTGAAGTTGTCAACGCGTTCGACTACTTCACTCCCTATTCTTAGTTCAGGTGTTAACGCAGACCAGTCCTGAAGCAACAACTTGCATTTAGAGGGAGAGAAGCGCATTCCAAACATTCTGGCATTGTTGCTCAGTGCTACCAGAAGACTCTGCATTTTGTCAGCGTCTTCACCAAACAGGACTATATCATCTGCGTATTCTAAGTCGATAAGTGGATCTCATGGAAGGAGATCAATACCCGAGAATTCAGTCGATGAGAATTTTATTTCCATCAGTAGATCTATGATGAAGTTAAACAAAAATGGAGAAAGTTGACAGCCTTGACGGACACCACTTGAGGTTGCAAAAATAGATGACAGTTCGCCATAAGCCCTGACTCGACTAGTAGTGCTTGAGTAATGAGCCTTTACAAGGTTTATGTACTTCTGGGGTACGCGTTTCAATGACAGACGCTGCCACAGAATCTAGCGGTCTACCGAGTCAGATGCTGCTTTTAAGTCAAGGAAGACCACCATCGTCGGACGCCGATAAGTATGCCTGTGTTCTAGAACCTGGTGAATGGTGAATATGTGGTCGATGCAGCCACGACCAGGTCTGAAGCCAGCTTGGTTTTCTCGTGTTTGCAGTTCATGAGTCTTAGTTAGGCGTCTGATTATTATTGAGGCTAGTATTTTAAATATTATATTAGTTAAACTAATCCCTCTGTGGTTGTCACAGGATGATTTTGACCCTTTCTTATATATTGGGACGATAAGTGATTGTGACCAGTCAGATGGAATAACGTCTAACTCCCAGATCTTAGCTAAAATATTAGTCAACCTAATCGCTAAATTTGGACCACTATCCTTAAAGACCTCTGGAGTCAATCCATCTGGACCAGCTGGCCTTCCTCGTTTCAGATTAACTATAGCCTTTTGAACTTCAGCTAGAGTTGGGGGACCTACTTCAATGTTCCATTCACACTGTCTGGGAATGGACAGTAGTTGTAGAATCGCTGAAGGCCAGCTCAACTGTTCCCTAAAGTGTTCCGCCCATCGTTCTAAACGCCTGGACTGGGAGCAGATGAGTGTATCGTCTTTTTCCGATATAATCTCACTTACACTTGACTTATTAATTCGTTTCTTTTATTAGTCTGTAAAGCTGTCTTGTGTTCTCTATAGTCGCTGCCTTTTCCATCTCTTTTGCTTTCGTTGCCCACCACTGCTCACGGTCGTACCTTAGACTTTTTCTTAACCTAGATCTGATTTGTTGTCGCTCTTCATCATGTCCGGAACCTCATGGGACGAGTTTGCGAGAATCCATCAGTGTGATAGACTTTGAAGAAATCCACTGGTTCTTTGAAACTCTGTGGTTTAAGTTGCTAATAGATGTCACTGATGCTTCCACAGCTGCTTGTATGTCTTTCAAAGCGACATTTGGGTCAGCCTCGCCTTCAGAACTACCTAAGTGTGAAATCAGTTGTTCTTGGAACCTACTTTTGGTTTTCTCGTTACTCAACTCAGTTCTAATGGGTCTTTTTAATGTGGCTGTTTTGCGTCCGGTGAGGCGCAAGCAGATGCGTGCCCGTATTAGGGCATGGTCGGAGTCCAAGCAGGTACTCCAGAATGAGCGACAATCTTCTACCGACCCTCTCCAACGATGGCTGATGGCAATATGGTCTATTTGAGTCCATCGTTGGTTTGGTGTAGGGGGTAGCCATGCTAGACGATGTCTCTCCTTATGCTTAAAATTTGTGTTTGCTAAAAATAAGCAATTATCTGAGCACAGTTGCAGCAGACGGTCACCATTATCTGTTCGATGTGCCGGAATGCTAAAATATCCATTTAAATGCCTTTCTGTTTGGTTTAAGCTACCTATCTGAACATTAAAATCACCCCCTACGAGTACTATGTCTGAGCGTTTAGCTTTCTGAAGAAGTTCAGAAAGCTTTCTGTAAAATTCATCTTTCACATCATCTGAGCTGCAGTCAGTGGGAGCGTAGGCAGAAACGACAAAAAGGCAACGACGTGTGTCCCTATCCTTCCGAGTTCTTACGGAGCCGTTTAGCCGAACAACACATAAACGACTGTTGACGGGGATCCACTCTAGCAGTGCTTGTTCCGCCCTCATGCTTAGTGCTATGCCTACACCTGCCAGTCCACGAGAACTGGCCATCGGGTCACCAGATACACGGAGGGTGTATCTCGTTGGCTCTCCGTTTTGCCGAGGTGAGGTCAAGTGAATAACCACACTGGAATCCTGTATGCGTGTTTCGGAGACTCAGCATACATCGATGGAAAGAGACTCTAGGGTTTTAGCCAAGGAAGCCTGCTGACCGATTTGACATAGAGTGCGTAGGTTGAAAGCTCCAATGTGTAGTTTGGAGCGAGGTTTCAGTAGACCTGGGATAGAGTTTTGAGCACTAGACTCGTTGGCTATGGTGACACTTGAGGAAGAAGCCGAAGGAGGAAGTTTAGGGTTGAAAGTCGATGTAGGAAGAATAATATGAATTGAAGAGGAAGGTTGATTATGAATACAGCGGTCTTGGCTGCTGTTAGAGGTATGAGGACGGTTATCACTTCCCGGTTGCCCACACCGTGGAATGGTTCTTCTGGAGGTACCTGAAAAGGAATTTGGATTAGAGGCGGTCTCAGCGACCTGAGAGCGTGACCGCAGTGCCCAAGGGACAACTGCTTGAGGCCGGTCGCGCACGGCCTTTTTGTGGAAGGTTTTTGACGTGTTAGCTCCGTTCTTCAAAGAGCCTTACCGCCGGAGACGGAAATCCGTGAGGTAAGGCGAGGTGTGCATTTTTAGGGTCGACCTTTTCTAACCCCACCCCTCCTTGTGGGAAGGCAGCATCGCTGTCATGCTGGTTGTCTGAAGGAAACACCTTACTGCTGTCACACCTCTGTACAGTCAGCAGTACGACTTCGCCTTCGGACCTTAGGTTTGTTGCTTTTAGTCTTACCGCTCTTCAACCGATCTGTCTGATATGGTAGGACCTTGAGGAACGGTTGTTCCAGCCAATATAGCTCGGTTGCTTCATCACGATAGGCAAGCCCGACCATCACGTCAAGGTAGCAACAACGGTTGGGAGCAGATGGTTTTCTTAGGAGGGCATACTCGAATGTTTTCCCAGCAAACCCCAGATTTTGCATTATTTCCCGACGCCTGGCCTGGCTGGAAAAGATGGCCAGTGCACGACATGGTGTCGTGATATGAAAGGAAGTTGTACAGGACTGGTTTTTGGTCATTCACAACTCTAGTTGGGGTCCTAGAGATGGCGCAACACAGCGGCTTTAGACATCATCAGACACGGCTCAGAACGGAAGCCAGTGGCAGTCCTGGTGTAACTTTCGTCATATCATTGAGGACTTCTTTAACTAAAAGAATCCTTTCCAACTGTTTTTTTTCTTAACTGAACTGCTCCTCCTAGTATTATTTTTTTTCACTTTCATACACTAATTCATTTTTCGTTTTTTTATTATTATACTGACCTTCATTTCTTGATCACTTCACAATATCATTTTTATTGTGTGGGGCATATATATTTTGGTGTACCTCAGTACCAATGTTTGTGTTCAAATAACGATAACAATAACCTCGCTCCGTCAACTTTTGTTTGAAAACTTAATAAAATCAGTCCTGATATGGACGAGTACATAAATTCATGCCTAGTAAATCAGCTATTTTAAACTCAGATAAACCGAGGGAAACTTGATACTATTTAAACACGCCTACGATTAGTGTAGATACTTTAAGAACACTGACAAAACTAACCGGACAACCAGAATTTCAAGTTTCATTCATAAAATCACTGTTCTGCAACCCAATGACTAATCTTCACGAAACCCTAGATATTGGAGGAAGGCTTCGTATACATTTCGCTAAACGAGAAAGTACTTGCAAAATAAGATTTCGGGTGTGGTTTAGTGAAGGTTATATGATCTATGTATATTATTTTTACCCCATTAGTTTATTTTGCCGATATGGTATATCTAAATGGATACCTACACCATAAGTCGAATAATTTATGATGCTTTTTTGAGTCTAACCTAAAGGATTAAGATATGAGTGTACGATGTTTCCCACCATCCCTTTTTATTGCCTACAGTGAAAACTACGATAATGCCTTAGGTTTCTCAACATGTAAAGAATATCATGAATACTGTTATGATCATTCTAGAAGCAACTGTGACGAAATTACTTGGTGGAAGTAATTATGCATTATCTAAAAGGTGTTTTGACATGAGGTATTCAAATTATATTGCCTTAATTATGGTCTTCCGTGTAACTACATGCATTTACATAGTAGGATAAAACGAATTGATATTTTTGAAATAAAGTTAGATTGGTGAATTGAGAAGCCTAACTTATCAAGTACAAGATTTGTGCATTCATCTTTGAGCCACACCGTTAGTGTGAGGGTTGATTATACCATATGATTGCCAAAACCAAAATAGGCGGTAACAGAATGATCACGCATCTAGGTAACGTCTAACACAGTTGACAGTGATGATTTTGAACTTGCCTCAGAAATTATAATAACACCTTTCCTACCTGAGAATACGGAATATAGGGTTATAAACTACGTTATTTGTCTAACCTAATACGATTATGGACAATTTGTATCCGGTATTTGTACGATTAACACTGACATCATGATACGTAAATAACGGGCTTACGTGGAATTGACTTACACAATCCTAATGTTTGGTTCTTTATTTCAGAACCAGAAATTTAAACGATTAGGGAATGTATAATCTTAAAGTAATTGAATCTGAAAATGATTCTGAAATCCGAATCTATGATTTGTTGTTAAAAATTACGCTGCAAATACAAAGCGGATTAGTATGGTGAAAAATTTACATGCAGACACAAACATATTTTGACGGAGATACACTCCGATCCTGTGATTCAACAGGTTAAGTATTTAACTTTTATTCAATGAGTAACCGACTACAACAACTTTTCATCTATTTCGCTCTGGACAGCTGAGTAATACTACCAAAGGCAGATTCATAGACGAGCATGTCCAAATGGTATGTAATTAACACTGATTACTGTCCTTAAGAAAAAGATGAATACAAATTTCATTTACTATACCAGTTATTTCTAAACACGTAAGGAACTGAGGCTTCGAAAGGAAAAGTATATTGTACCAAACTGCTAGTCAGCAAATCAGAATAAAGAACTAATGTCGTTGTTTAGTGGGTGCAGATAAAATTTACCAATGACAACCTTTGGACAAAAATCCATGATACACTGATTAGGTATTGATATATGAATTTGTTGATCTATGTATACATTTGCTAACTGTTTGTGAGATCAAATATTTTTTTACGTTGAACTAACCAGGTAGCTGTGAAATATAACTGCGACAAATTGTTATGAAAATAAAGGATTACATTTTTTGAAAAATTGACGTTAAGGAGCATTTATAAACTTACGATTTCGAGGATCAGACCAAAGGAATGAAGCTTGATAAGGGAAATAATTACGACAAAACTCTTTATATATTTGAATTTCAAATTAAAACCATGCAATCAAAAAGTTGCATAAATGAATAGAAAAAGGTATTTCTAACATAATAATATTTATAAAAATATTATAACTTGAGAAAAACCTTATGTATACAACATCTAGCCACCGTGTCGAAAGTGATAAAGACAACTGAGAGAGTAGATTTTAGAGTTTACGCTTGACCGGTAGCGAGAATATCTTCCAGACAGCTTAATGAACTCTGTCAGCCAAATAACATGTAAGAACATTTGTAATAGCTTTATCTTGAGTCAGAACAACATGGATGATTAAAGACAATCCATGTCACTAAGCCAAAACTTAAGAATAAATATCCGAATTCGAGGCTGGATGATAATCTAAAGTAACCAAGCAACTAGGGTCAACAGATCACAGGCTCTAATTTCCATGTATCTACTCTGATTTTGGCGAACAAATTATCTCCAGAGCTGGTTGGCAATGTCAAGGTTGGTAGAATGATACCCGCAGATTTCGGAGGTGATCGTAACCTCTTTTATGGAGAAAATTTGATTACAAGTCGACATAAACGTCAAGAATAGTAAACATATCCTGGTTTTTGCTTCAGAGACTACATGACAGTTGAAATAAAATCAAAAGGACATTGGAGAAAGGGATAAGATGACCTAATTTCTTAATAAATAATAGTAATGAAATCCTTTATGAATCAAAAGCTCTAAGATGAATGGTTCATAATACACTGAGGCGAAGAAAGTTACAGCCAAAACAAAAGTTTGCTACACTAACACTGGCAGCATGCCAAATAACTGAGTTAAGTTCAGTAATGTAGGTGATCCATAAGAGCCAGTAACTAGCTCAATGATAGAAAAGTAGATTGTGCTTGACAAAATTGATAAGTACGTACACCTACTGATTTTTTCAACTCCGATGAATTGATATTCGCAAGTGGAGGCATTAGGGTCCTTCACATGTGAACCCTTAGTCCATCAGTTGAGGAAATGCTGACACATGAAAGATTATGCTAACAATTAAAATGAAAAGAATAGGATAGTAAGGTAATCGAAGTATACCAACCACACTAGATATCCTTTAAAACCGGAGATTCTGGTCACAAAAAAGCGCAGTCACCTTGTAGATTTCGATACACCATTCATTAATTAGGAGAATATTATGAAACTGAAGTTCACCGAATCGATAAATCACAAACTATTGAAACCCATTGTCACCTAAGTCCTCGATTAGAACACTTGGAGGATAACCAAGTGCCGCTCTTAACACTCACTCTTGATTCTTGTTCTAGTCCTCTCAACAAATTTACGTTATGTGTGCTCCGTACGTGTCACGTCTTAGAATGAATAAACAGTTGTAATCATTAAAACTCACCTCTGCTACTGTCATTCTGAGTGACAAACGACTGTTATAACGTATGAGATCTGTCACTGTTAGCAGTTATTTCGGAAGATCATGCAGAAGACTGTAAAATCGACTTTGAAATATTCGGAAAAAATCAAGGCACCTTATTTATCTAAGCAGTAGTAAACAGTGGAACATTACTGCTCCTTGCACGGAAGTAGAATATTTTTGGATTGGTCCAAATTAAGTAAACTGTAACAGTTCACAGGGTATAAATATGACTCACACGTGAGAGGGTACTCAAAATCACATTACCACGTAGGCTAATGTCTAAACTGCGTAAACGTAGTGCAATAAGACTTCTTTCCGATATGCTTTGTTTGCGATTATAAGTTATCATGCTTCATACTTGCTCTGATTGACCAATTATATACGATAACCGAGCGTAATTAAACGCAACAGAAAATGCTGAAAATATATCTTGAGCCCAATTTACGAGAAATTTGAGATGAACGACTATAATGATTGATATATATTTTCTTTTGCATATCCACTAATGAAAGGGGAAGAAATTATTATAGACTTCGAAAATATTTACTGTGCAATAAAGGATTTTGTAATCGTATTCGTTTAAGGATGAATACAAGTAACCACTAATTAAAACCTAACACGCATTTTCAGGAAACTTAAGGATGGATATAAGATAACATTAATAATATTACAAATTTTGTGTTAAAAATTCTTTGCTGTAATTAAAAGAGGAGATTAGTCCCACTATTATTATGCCTGTTTTTCGTGACAACGCAAGCTAGAAATATATAGAAAATGGAGATATAAAGTGCACAAACTTAAGACTAAAAAGTCATACCGAATTCACACCAATTATGAATAATTTGACACCAGATAATTCAAGTAAGTCTGACTTACTGAAAAATTTCACGATTCCAAAGAGCAAGCTACAACCCAATCGAATAGGTTCGAATAAAAACAAAGCAGTAGACCACCACCAACTATGAGTGCTATCTCTTGACCTCAGTATCCGCTGATTGGGAGGAGTTAACTCAACCTGAGGAGTTAATTGAAAAGGACAGACCAAACCTGTGGTACGGACGAAATGCGTGAAGTAGTACTTCGCTGTCTTAAACCAGAGTCTTCAAATCCCATTAATTTATGCACAGCACGCTGAAAACTTATTATTAACTTTCAAGACACACCTCTAAGTTCCAAGAGCTTTCCTCTAAAAGCTTTAGTGCATCCAAGTAACCTATACCACCAGCGATTTCCCTTAAGTGCTGGACATCCTGAGCTTCTGATTCAGACAGAGAATGCGCCTCATCTATATTATCGTTACCCGACATCTCAGTTGAAGTGTAGTGGCAGAATTTTGAAAAGTCACAGGTCACCCGTTGTTTAATTTTCAATGAAGTCAGTATCCATTACACTACGGAGTGAAAACTAGTCTCTTTGAGGCACCATCATAACTGTGGTGATTGTATCCTGGTCTCTGATAAGCTTAAACTGACGAATACGAACTCCCAGTTTTTGTCGTTTTAGTGAACTCCACAGGCAATAAAACGGAACTGTTATGAATTGATATACCTAAAAAATAAGTGAAACTGAACACTCCACAAGGTCTGAGCAGTGATTCTAACTAGTATACCACATGAGAAGCAAGGGCTAGATTTAAATAGACGAGTGAATTTATTAGCTGATGAAGTGAATTTTGTCTTGTACTATGTATTTGATGGTTTCGTAAAGAGAACTTCGAAAACAAAAAGCAAGAAATTGACGGAGTGCTTAAAGAACACTCTAAATCTTTGTGAAATTGAAATAAAAACAACTCTATGTAAGCAGTTCAAGCTTCTCGTAACCAGACATCGTAATAATAGAAACTTTTGCACATTTTCTGTTGTGGTTAATTGAGTTAAGTGTCTCATTAAAATGACGTTGGCTAATAAGCACCTCTTTGGACGTTGACTGTCGCAATGACTTGAGTGACGTGGTTTTTGTAACGCCCTAATAATAGTACAAACATCCAGCGCTTCACTGAAAACCAAGAGGAGTGATAATGAAACAAGAAATGTGTATAGAAAGCTACAAAATCCATAATATATCTCTTCGGCTCTATCTCAGATATCCGAAATTAATTGACTTTTCGCACTATATCCAAGACAAAAAGAGTATTATATATCTGCTTATAGTTATGTACTTGTTGTTGAGTTTGTAGAGTAGCTATGCCATACCAACTTTCCACGCAAAGACTACAGAGATTTAACACTTATTGTGTATTATCAAGTATGATTTGCTCCTTGGCTTTTGTAGTACTGTAATATTAACATTTTATTTCTCTATCTAAGGACTGTACTTCAGAGCTGTTTTCGACGGTAAAATATAGATACATCGTTCTAAATTTCGTCTTGGTTAGAGTTAGATTGTAACGCAAAACTTATTTGATTCGGTTGAGAAGTTAAACCAGAAAATTGCAGGAAAAGCCGATTTTTTATTGTATGGAATTCATGTTCATTTATATGGCGAAGTGAATTATCTAGGCTTGTTAGCGGTTGTACGGGATGTGGAGCAGTGCCTACACACTCACGATCTGGTGCGGATTCATGACCGAGAGACTTTAGCTAGATGAGTACATTAAAACTAGTGCGGTTAGCATCAAAGGTCGAATACTTAAAGAGCTGTTGATTTTGGGGATTTATTTACCTCTAAATAAAAATTTCTTTCAGTTATTCAAACAAACTGCAAGAGGTGCGGTATATGTAAAGCTTCTCTGTTTCTTTAATTCCGTCAAAATGTGATTCAACATTTACAGACACGAATGATGCAAGCGAACGTACAGAAACATATATACTATTATGTTCACATGCTTTGGGTCACACATGTAAGTGATAAAATTACCGGGAAGCATAAATCTATTTATCTGTCTGAAGGCAAGGATAAAGCGTCCAGACACATAAGAGCATTTATTATCATAATATGCGTGTATCGTGATGGAAACATATGGCAAAGAGCATAATAATCAGAAGTATTTTTTACCATGCCTCAGTGTAATTGATATTTAAAGTTATATACAACCCGAATGACTTTAGAAAACACTCCTGTGCAAATGATCACGATTTGCTGTTTCGAGCCATAATACTGTAGCTTACGCCATCACTGATGTATTTTTCGTTCTCTTAAGTTAGTAAAGTTGTCATTTATGTAATGTTCTAAATGCTAAGTGCTAACTGTCAATGTAATTACTCTAACTTGTGAAGGTTCCTCTGGTGGTGATAACCTCGATGACAACCTTTCTTTCCAATCTAAAAGTAATCGTACTGTTCTTATTTCTTTAATTTATATTCATCTCCTTTATTTTTAGTTTACATGAGTTGGTTACCACTTCTTTTCCACAGTCATGATCTTATAATTAAAGCAGAGAGGAATTGAATATCGCAATCTCCGTGCTCTACCAACACCGTCAATAGCAAAGAAGCTTTTAAACTTCGTTTTCATGTCTCCTTACGTTTCCAACAAATACAACAATTCGATGGGAGAAAATGAATCCCTTACCTTTCTTACAGTTAAATGATTTAAAGAATGGTTCACAGAAAGACATAATGTGATAGATAACTACAAAACCTAGACACTTCTTAAACGCCTATTGAAAGTATTATTATGGTGGTGAATCTCCCTTCGGAGAGCATACAGTATACCACGCACCAGTTTTAGAATTGCCAGTAGACCTGATCGCAACGGAGCACATCAAGAGCATAAAAAGACCCAAGTTGGAGGTAGATAACAGAAAACGAAGTTACCACGTCTGCGAAAGCTGAATTACATGTACATCGTTCAGTTTTACTGAAACTTGTGAGAGTTTCATACAGAGTTAGCCAGACGCGATCAACCATGAGTTCAGCACGAACAAACACTCAGGAACAAATAACCTCTCCCCAGATACCGACCTATGAATAGCTTATTTTATGTTAGAAGACATAGTTTAGCAGGAAGCCTCTTGTAGATACTGGTGAGTCACACAATTTCTATCAAAATCAAAAACTGAACCAAATCTCAACCTGTTGAACTGTTTATAAATAATAAAGGCCATGACGTTTGTGGCAACATAATTTGATACTAGTTTTCTAGCTTAAACTAAAGTACATATGGATTTTCTCAGTGGCAGCCTTAGATCTGGCAATGCATGGAGAGACAACGAACTACTATTCGACATCAATAGAAGCTTAAAATATTCACAAGAACTACATTTATATTTTGTTGTTAGACTTTATAGTCAGAATATGCATTAATCGTTCGATCACATCGTTTCTTACATCAAGGTAGGAAGTAATTGAAGACGGTTAACCTCGGCTAAATACGTTCAAATTTGACATGCAACCATGGAAAATTGGAATTATAATAAATAAATAAATAAAAAAGAAATGAGAAGAGATAACTTCTCAACATGGTCATGGAATGTTTCAAGAGGCAAACTATCAAGGCCATTTGAACGTATACAGGTCGTCCGTAAGTTTAAAATCTCGTGAGGCTGTTTACACAAATTATTTTTTATAACAAGATTGTCTTGATACCACGAATTCTCCATTGATAGTTATCATACCCTAGTTTCAATTATAAGTTTTATTGCATTTTGTATGTTCACTGTGACGTTGCATCATTCGAATCTAGTCTTCAGTCTTCAGTAATAAGGATAGTAGGTTGATGAACCTGTGTTAATCCTGACACATTGCTTTCCAGTGAAGGTCCAGCTTTTCCTTGAAAGTATTCACTGATGGGGCTGATACCACTTGTTCGGGTAAGGCGTTCCAATCATTGACTACTCGATGAGAAAAACGGGTGCATTTAATAATGAAATCCTCGGCCTGACACTTTACTCACAAATGAGTTTATGGTTGCTCAAATTCAAAATGCCTGCAGTAAATGCCATATTACCTCTTTTCTTCCGTTCTTTTCACATAAACTGGGCAGGTGTTTTATGATCAAAACAATTATTATTCTGCTCTGAGTAACAATTATAATACTGCACTGTCGATTATTATTTGCGCTCAATTTATCGGATTTCTATGGTGCAAGAAAGTCCCCTGTTTTTCTTATGAGGTGTTTCCTCCTAAGAGGATTGGATAACAGCCCTAGATAGCGGTCTGTCTGTTGATGCGTTATTCATAGATTTTAGCAAAGCGTATGACAAGGTCTCACACTTAGGTCTTATGCGGAAGCTATTAGGCTTCGGAATAACAGGTGCTGCACAGGAATGGGTAGGAAACTTCTTATGCGGCCGCAGAGAGTGAGGGTCAATAGAACTCTGTCCGATTGGAAGCTGGTCAAAAGTGGTGTACCCAAGGCAATATCTTAGGCCCTCCACTTTTCCTTCTCTACGTTAATAAATTACCGCTGTTGCTTAGGTCTCCGACATTATTGTTTGCTGATGACGTGAAAATCTGGAAAACAATGAGAAGTGAGGTTGATCATTTGATCTCCAAGCTGACTTAGATGAATTAGTTGGATGGGCTCGAAGTTGGGGCTTAGCAGTTAATCCTAGGAAAAGTATGCTCATACAAATCTAGTATAGGGTCTTTCTAAACTCCCTTACAATGAGCGCCCAAACCTTTTCTCCTTGTCGTATCATAGAACTCGAGAAGACCTTATACTGGCATTTCGCATCTTTAATTATGAATTGGGTGGTATTGTCTTATCTTGCGGCAAGCCTAGTTTATGAACGCACCAATCAGGTATAAGATAACAGGTCTCGAATTTCGGCGCAAAACTCACCCATCTATTTGGCTAAATAAAGTTTTGACATTATAACTGTCAGTCCGTGTGAAAGCCCTAAACATAATTCTTAACCCTAACCATAAGAATATTTTCCATAAATAGACAGTCCATCATCATCACCACTAACCGTAAATCCTAATTCTAATTCGTTACACTGGTTTACAATCCTCATTTGGTCCTAGTTATTAAGTGGATCCTCTCAAGTTTACTTTAACGTCGCTAAAAGTTCGTCCATAAATTCTAGCCTCACCACCTTGCTTGTGTAAACATTTCCATGACCTATTGCAAGTCAAGCCTTAAAATATCTTATGACCACAGTGTTGTGACTTTAACTTGGGTCGATTTTTACCCCGTGCCAACTGTCGCGTCTTTGACTGAAAAAACTAGAGAGCAACGTACTATAGATCGAATCAGTGACACGTAAACAAGTACGGACGACCTAGAGTCCCGATTGGTCCCGCTTCCCTGTCTAACCCAGCCAGTTGAGTCCAGAACACAAGTCACAACTTCTGAGATATGAATCATTATATTTCAACATACTCTGTTTATATACCAACCAAACAGACCACATCGTACCATAAAAATAGAAAACATCTGTACAATATTTAACGAGTGAAATAAATAATGGCCAATAGGAAATGTCCATTTAAAGTCCAAGGACATCATTAGACTTAACATGATAATGATTGGTGTAATCCTCTGCATCCATAACACACAGCATCTTTTAACCATGTTGTTCCGTTGGGGTCAGGTTTTATTAGTTATCCCTCATAAAGACACTTCAATAAGGCCTTTGCGAATACCCTTACTCCTAATACTAAAAAGTCCTTGCTAAAGCGGTGGTGGCAGAACGCATTATTTCCTGTCAATTTTAATGTGTAAAAATAGCTCAAAAAATACTGAAAGCTCTGAAATAGCCATTTCTCGTATGGTAATTTGTATTTATATTCATCCTTAGCTTCAGTATAGTCTTTAAACTAAAAATTGATGACTGTAGAGCGTTTTACAGCATTGTTTATGTGTTTAAAATATCATAACCTAGAAAAAAATCTGGAAAAACTCATTTATGAACGAACCAAATAGATAGCACGCATTTGAATTTGACGCAAAATTCAGTCACTCATTTTGTTAAGAACCATTTTGGCATTATAGCTTATATTGGTTCGTGATGAAAACATTAGATCTAATTCCTAACTTAAGCGGTCAACTGTAAATCTTAAACCAAAGTCATTTTGGCGTCGCCCAAAGGTCTTCCATAAATTGTGGTCCCACCAAAAATCTCATTACATTTTAGTTAATGGACTTCATTTCAACTCAAAACTATCTGAAGCTCAAATCCTTGTTTTAAGATCTACCAAAGATTATATTTGCGAACTAATGCAATATAATGCAGATAGTATTTACATCCAATAAAGTTAGATTCTTTTCGCTTTTGTAAATTGTCATACATCCCTTTTAATAACATTTTATTTCTATTCCCCAAGTTTAAGAGCTTTGTCTCGTCGAAATCAGCCTCCTCAACAACAAATCCTTGCTTCAAAACCATATAAGTCTGTTATTATAAAAGGTACTTGCCACCGAAAATGGTGTGACGTAGATCCATTTCAATAAACGTTTATGTATATTGTCAGAGCTGTTGTCACTTCAAAATATAATTTCCAATCATATAAATCTGGTACCGTTTAGTCAATCGCCCTGTCTTCTCAATGTGACCTGTTCCCCAAATCTAATATAAAGCCCTCAACATCCAGTTAACCTCACGAAGATAAGTAAAAAGTCAGTTGTACAGAGAACCCTATCTCTGAAAAATAATGTAACACTTGTTTATTTGGTATTGTAATTCTGGTAAAATATACCGCTATTACTTAGTTTTATGTAGGCTAGACGAATCCAATACCACAAATGAAAATAAATTTCAGAAATTAGAGTGAATGGGGCGATTTGTTTCAGTAAAAACGTGTAAACACGAATACGTTTCTATAACAATGTAAACTATTGTCACATGTAAATGTATTATATATGCTTAACGAGTTTTCGGTTTGTTTCCGGTCCTTTAGATTCCTGAGTTAATTGTCAGCTTACACTCTGTGTATTCGCTAACAACACCTTAAGGTATAAGAAAATTTTCTGACGTATAGAATATTCAAGCGGTCCGGCGCTTTTTAGTTGGTTTTGATGGAACGATCTTTACCTCCTTGTTATAGACTTCCCCACACGTCGGTATTACGAAATGACTTCCGAAGGTATGGCATTCTTTGTTTGTTCAATATTACCGGCAGACTGGCAATATACATTCTCCTGCTTACGTACTTTTGCTACACACTTTATCATGCCTCACGAAAACCTCTTAGCATTGTTAAGACGGTTCTTCATCGTCCCGGCGTAAATGGACAACTAAGAACTGTTGGTTTCACTTCTGACGGCTGGAAACCGTTTGGTAGTTTTTTGTTGTATGGTTGACGGCTGTATTTAGATTCTGACAATTGGAGTCAGTTACTGGGTGGCCTTGAATATATTTATTTGTTTGTTTATGCAGTTTCAATGATTCTAAGGTGAGTCTAAAAGATATTAAACTACTTTATAGTGGCTTTCTTGCAGAAAGAGTCAATTTAAGATACTTCTTATCTATCGGAATGTTTCTTAGTGGAGTTTCCACTTTTGCATTTGGACTGGCTTCATACTTTGAAATTCACTACTACTCATACTTCGTCGTTATACAGGTAAAAAATGTTTGATTGTCACTTCCAGGTGTTTTCTGGTCTTGTTCAAGCTTCTGGATGGCCGGCTGTTGTTACTCTGGTGGGAAATTGGTGGGGCAAAAGCAGGTTTCCAACAAAGTTTCACGTTTAATACTGATATATATATATATATATATATATATATATATATATATATATATATATATATATAATGTTTACATTTACCACAAGTTCATTTGCGTATGGTTACTAGCAGACAATTTCTTCTGTCTATAAAAAATGGTTCGGTCCTTATCACTACTAATTAGGTGAGAGTGGAATAGTGATCCCTTTTAAAACAAAAGTTACGTCAGATTCAATCAGCCGACTCATTGTATTTTTATTTCTAATTAAAACATTAAAAAATCGTTTTTAGTGCAATTAGTGATTAATATACCCTCCCCATTGTAAACTCCGTTTAAATCCTACAAAAGTCAAGTTCACCTTCAGTTTCTTGCAAAGTAACTTCAATTTAGATTGATATCATGAATGGATCAGCGTTATATCACTCCTCAGTAGTGCATCAATGATCCTGCACCAAAGGAACTCGAACCCAGGAACTTCGGACTCGTGAGCGGATGCTTAATCTTTAGACCACTAGGCCGGCATCCAACGGTGTTAATGTCTAAGTTCAACCAATCCACGATATTGCGCGACCGTCCACTATTGTCTTCAGTGAGTAACGGTCTCACAACAGACACGGTTGAACTCCGCTGGTCACGGCTTCTCACTAGAACTCCAGAAAATCCACCTTAAAACCAGTCAATAGTGAGCATATGGTAAGTTCAATTTATTATGTAACAATTTGAACTCAGTAAACTGAGTTTGTGGAATGTAGTTTGTTATAGACAAGCTTTTCTTTCCTTTTTATCAACGTTCACATTTGTGTTTTTCCTGTTTTCGTATAGACGGGGACTTATTATGGGTCTTTGGAATTCTCATACAAGTTTGGGAAATATCATAGGTTCCGTCATTGCCGGAATCTATGTTGAAGCAAACTGGGGGGCTTCTTTTTATCTACCCGGTGTAATCATGATGGTTGGAGCGTTGGTTGTCTACCTGACAGTTATAGAGCATCCTAACATGGTCTATAACTCGGCTAGTTCAGAAAAAACAGGTACTCAAGTTTCAATGTCAGGAAGCATATATAGGGTAATTATCTATTCGTTCATAGTTTTTTACAGCTTATTTTGAAGTAACTTCCGAAAGTTAATTCGTTTCAGAAATAAACACTGGCATCAGTAGGAATAAAATGTTATACAGACAAAAGCTTTGATTGTATGTATATATTAACAAGTAGTCTTCAGAATGCATCGTTCATTATTAAATTCATTACGTGAACTTGGGATCCGTGTTGACTTCCGAATACTGTTATGAATGTCCGTTATTTCTTATGTTTTCCAATCGCGCTGTTCGAATGCAACCGTAAGCTTTTACTAAACGTAATTTGATAAATAATCCTTGTAGAAACAAAGTATAAACCATCCTATATGAATTGACTATTTATCACAGCTTAAATGAGTCGTATACAAAATTGCCAACTCATCATAAAGCTGACTATTCAAAGACCAATTTATGTCATATATGCCAACCGTTTATTTCAGTCCACTAATTTTATTGATAATACCAGTATGATGTCTGTTAGTTACTTGTCATCAGTCAATAGTTTTAATTACTGTCTGTTTCTTAGAGGATATAAGTAATATAGGCTAGTTAGTACATGCTTCACTCTCCACTTTAAAAGCTTTTGTAGTTTATTTATCAATCAATATAATCATTCTTAAAAGTAGAAATTATTTAATGTGGTGGTTTTGGGGTTCACAACAAAATACTTTATTTGAACATGGTGAACGAGTAGCAACATTTTATGTGGCATGTAAAAAACCAATTCCACCTATGTGGGTTATTTTCCATGTGCTGTACTCATGAAGCACTCTTCCACTTAGCGCATCAATTACTTTTACCGTTTTCCATACCGATTACAAGTCTGAATTAACTCTGAGTTCATAAGATTGGATCAATTTATGTTTTCTTTTGTAGCTCCGTTTGCTACAGCTTCTTCGTGTTGGGTTATATATGATCATAACAAAGAATCTTCATCTATTTTTTTCATTACTTTAGCTGAATAGAGCCAGTGGAAGTTACTGTGATATAATTAACGTTCATTTACGGGTAACTCATTTACATACAGCAGATTTATACCCTCGATTTTGAACTGCACGGTTTGTATAGTGGACAGTGTTACCACCCGAATTCCTACTATCCCAACCAAGTTTCATGAATGGTATTACTACTGCTTAATTCAGGGATTCTGAAAAATTGCATGAAAGGCATTACAACATTAAGTTTATCAGTCGATAAAACAAAAAAAACAATTGTAGGTAGTATTTCTACTAATCTTACATAATACAGACCATTACATTACCCTGTTGTTATGGAACAAAAGAGAGCTTTGTTAATTACTTCACAATGAAAAAAATGTCCAAATAGTTCGCGTAACTTCAATTTAATTCGTGAGCGGAAATTATTTCGATCAAATGTGTGTGTTACTATGCCAACCCTACAGGGGTTATTCTAGCTTCCAGACAGACCAGTTTATTCATTTTCTTGGAGTCACATTTTGGCTTTGTTAATTACTTACTAACCTTGACTGTTCTTATATGAGCGTTTGTTGATTGCTTACCCCTAATAGCTACGTGTCTGTAGCTTATTTCTGTCTGACTTGAAATATCGAGTCACGCTTCAACAAACCGAGTTGGTTCCTTCGTCTTCTCTACTTCGCTTTTCATTCTGAATGTCTATTCTGATCAACAAGTGTACGAAGTACACGTATTCAAAATTCATCCTCGTACCTTACTTATTCTGTTATTCTCTAACGTGAATTAAGTCGATAATTATGTACGAGGATAGCGGGGATGTATATTTCGATAACATACGATCTTTTTGGAGTCAGAATAAAAGGCTTTAAAAAGCTTATTGAACTCTGCCTTCAAATTGATTTATGTCATACATCAGTTCAGTTGGATGAATACGAAAACTTATAAATGAATCAGAACTGAAATAAAGTAAATTTTTAATCGTTACATGAGAGTGACTCTGTTGTTTTTGGACCTATAAATAAGCTTCTTGATTCAAACCGATTGGATTGGAGCTCCAGTTACTTAACCTTATCACTTAAACGAAACCAAACCAACTACATTTCTGAATACAAATTATGTTTGCAAATTTAAACGTCACTTGGACTTATGAAGTAATAGCTAACCATTTTTGTGCGCTACTTTGTATCTGCCTAATAGTGTTATTGTTGTCCTATTTCTCTACAGGGAAACATCGACCGTGAAAGGTCAGATAAAGATGGTTTGAGGCCTTTAATATCGGATATTGAAGCCACTCGACCAATTAATTTCATTGAAGCTCTTCTATTACCAGTAAGTTTGTCTTAAGTTATTTTTAATCCGGTTATACGACTCCAAAGATGTATATTTGCGAATCTCGTTATTTTGTCTAATATATTGATGCGACACGTTTTCCTTACTATTTCCTACCATATGCTTTAGTTGTTTTCACAGTGAAGGTTTAATTTCTGAAAAACCAGGAGTCACTGGATAGGTAATCATACAGGCCAACTGATGAGTGATAAATGATAAAGGTCCCTTTCTATAGGTTGAAATATGGCTTCATTTTCTGACGGATAAAGATGTATATTTATTTGTGAATGTACGTATATTATCTATTTGCTTAGCCAACAAAGGCTTCCTACTCAGTCTTGGTCGTTTTTAGTCAAGTAACTAGATGAACTCAGGTTCCAAGCCTTACAAGATCTACTGAAAGAAGAAGAAACTAGTATGGAGGACAACTGGAAAGGCATCAAGGAAGCATTGACTTCAACGTGTCAAGAGGTTCTGGGTCTAAAGAAATACCATCATAAGGAATGGATCTCTACAGAAACACTGGACAAGATCAAAGAAAGGAAGAACAAGAAGGCAGCAATAAACAACAGCCGAACACGAGCAGAGAAAGTCCAAGCACAAGCTGAATACATAGAAGCAAACAAACAAGTGAAGAGGAGCATTAGAGCCGACAAGAAGAAATATGTGGAAGAACTAGCAACGACGGCAGAAAAAGCTGCTAGAGAAGGAAATATGAAACAGCTTTACGATACAACGAAGAAACTAGCAGGAAAATACAGTAAACCAGAGAGACCGGTCAAAGACAAAGAAGGCAAGCCAATCACCGAAATTCAACAACAGCGGAACAGATGGGTAGAATACTTCGAGGAACTCCTGAATAGGCCGGCTCCAATGAATCCACCGGACATCGAAGCGGCACACACAGATCTTCCCATAGGCGTCAACCCACCAACGAAGGAAGAAATCAGAATGGCCGTCAGACAAATCAAGAACGGGAAAGCAGCGGGTCCGGACAACATACCAGCTGAAGCACTGAAGTCAGACATCGAAGCAACTACAAACATGCTTTATCTTCTATTCAAAAAGATTTGGGAGGAGGAACAAGTGCCGATGGACTGGAAAGAAGGGCACCTCGTCAAGATTCCAAAGAAAGGAGATCTGAGCAAATGTGAAAACTATAGAGGCATTACACTGCTGTCAATACCAGGGCAGGTCTTCAACAGAGTGTTGCTGAACCGGATGAAAGATGCAGTAGACGCCCAACTTCGAGATCAACAAGCTGGATTCCGTAAGGATCGATCATGCACAGACCAAATTGCAACACTACGGATCATCGTCGAACAATCAGTTGAGTGGAACTCATCACTATACATCAACTTCATTGATTATGAAAAGGCATTTGACAGTGTGGATAGGAGGACGTTATGGAAACTTCTACGACACTACGGAGTTCCTGAGAAGATTGTCAACATTATCCGGAACTCATACGACGGACTACAGTGCAAAGTCGTGCATGGAGGACAGCTGACAGATGCATTCCAAGTAAGGACCGGAGTCAGACAAGGCTGTTTACTCTCTCCCTTCCTCTTTCTTCTGATGGTCGACTGGATTATGAAGACCTCGACATCTGAAGGAAAACAAGGAATTCAATGGACAGCTCAGAATCAATTAGACGATTTGGACTTCGCAGATGACCTAGCCCTCCTATCACGTACACACGAACAGATGCAGATGAAGACAGCCAGTGTAGCAGCAGTCTCTGCATCAGTAGGCCTCAGTATACACAAAGGGAAAACCAAAGTCCTCAAATTCAAAGCGGAAAACAACAACCCAATCACTCTTGATGGCGAAACTCTGGAAAATGTAGAGTCCTTCACATACCTGGGAAGCATCATCGATGAACAAGGAGGTTCAGATGCAGACGTAAAGGCAAGGATTGGCAAAGCAAGGACAGCATTCCTACAGTTAAAGAACATATGGAACTCAAAACAACTTTCAACCAATATCAAAGTGAGAATCTTCAATACCAACGTCAAGGCAGTTCTACTGTATGGAGCTGAAACTTGGAGAACTACAACAACAACCATCAAGAAGGTACAAGTATTTATAAATAGTTGTCTACGCAAGATACTCAACATCCATTGGCCGGATACCATCAGCAACAGCTTTTTGTGGGAGAGAACAAATCAGCTTCCAGCTGAAGAAGAAATTAGGAAAAGACGATGGAAATGGATAGGACATACATTACGCAAATCTTCAAACTGCATCACGAGACAAGCCCTAACTTGGAATCCTGAAGGGAAGCGAACAAGAGGAAGGCCAAAGAACACATTGCGTCGGATAATAGAAGCAGATATGAAAACGATGAATTACAACTGGACGCAGCTAGAAAGGATTGCCCAGAACAGGGTTGGATGGAGAATGCTGGTGAGTGGCCTATGCTCCTTCACGAGGAGTAACAGGCGTAAGTAAGTAAGTAAGTAACTAGATGAACTCGCGTATGGCAAGTGTTATAATCTCTTTCTTACGGTTATGACCCAGCTATTCCTATTGCTAAGTATTCTCGGACACCGATTCACTCGACATGGTGTCGTGGTATGAAAGAAAGCTGCAAAGGACTGGCTTGTGTCGGTCCTTCATGACTCCCCTGGTTGGGGTCCGAGAGATGGTGCTACACAGTGGCTAGAAACGTTATCAGATACGGCTCAGAATAGAAGCCAGTGGCGATCCTGCTGTAACTTTCTTTCACTTTCTTCGTAAAAAGTGGTTGTATCTTCCTTAACTGAAAGATTTCTGATTGTACCCTTCTGTTCCCCTACTATTGCTATTATTTTTATTACACTACCTTACACCAATCTCTTCGTTATTGTTTTTTTAAAATTATTATTATTTCTTTTTTACGTTCCTCACTTTTTTTCTTAGATTCTCATTGTTTTGTGTGGCGCATATATATTCGGCGCACTCCTGTACCAATATATATGTGTTCAAATAAATAAATTCACTCGACAAGTCCCCAAATCAGAACACGGTTGAACAGGAAAGAGATTATGTTCCAAATAACAAGGTTAGATGGAAGTAAGATGCACAATAGGGAAAACGTCAGTATATTTATAGTTTTTACATGAGAAGATTCTAGAGTATTCTCCAACTATGGACTAGTGCTGATTGGATAAGAATGAGCCAATCAGCGTGCACCAAAGCAATTGTGCATTGAGCATGCTTTAATCCAGTCTATGTCCCACTAACAGGAAGCTTGTATATCAATAGCAGACTCGGATACCATACAAGATAACAATTTCTACTCATTATAAAATTCATTTATCTTGCGTAGAACATTTGTAGCTGAGCTGGATGTTAGTGAAGTTTTGTTTGATTGTGGAGCGTTCATTGCTCTTCTGACAAACTTAGGACCAAGAATCAGATCGAAGGGCTGTAAAATCACAATAAAGAGACAATTCGCAACGGATTAAAGGTCAACAATGACCAATAAAGATCGGAACAAGCTATGAGTCATATGTGGAGAAATTCGAATACTTCACTTCTATTTGAAGTTCGTACTGCTGATTTTATTAAGAATTAAAGCTCCATAATCAAATCATCCAGAAAACGAAACTCCACCAAAATTCAACTATCTCCACAAAGTCTCTATATACAGTAATTCATGAATGTATATATTTGTTAATTATTCTATGAAATTTCCTCCTTATCATTCCTGTTTTTCTGTTTATTTTGCAGAGTGTGTTTACCTATTCACTCTTATTATTCTTTACGAAACTTGTCTCATATACATTTCTTTATTGGTTACCAAACTACTTAACCATTGTTGAACATGTGTCAGCTGAACAGGCTGCTAAACTTTCTGTGTTGTTCGATGTTGGTGGCATAATCGGTGGTGTATTGATAGGATGGTTTAGTGATAGTCAGGTAAGTTTTATTTCTGTCCATTCGACGATCAGAAATAAAAACCTACATATTATGTTGAAATTAATTATTAATTTTCATATGAGTTTTTCCAGACATTGGACTCCATTCATGTATGTTTATTGTATTGTCCTTAGTAAATCTCTCTGTCAAACTCCAAAAACGATAGAGTGGAGACAAATGCAGAACAAAAGGTTTTTATAGTGAAGAGTGACAGATAATGAAAACAACAGACAAAACAGTAATGATGCTAGTTGGGTAACGTTAGAAAGTTGTTTGGATTTACTGAATACGCTATGATAAAAAAATATAGACAGTGAATTATGTTGTAACAGAGAGAAGTAAATCTATGATCTATTCTCAAACCAGTCATTGAAAATAATGAACTAAACACTTAAAGAAACCGTTGAACTAGCGTTTGCTTGCTAACTGGTAGCTTGGAATACGAGTTTTATTGGTCATTCCTGATTTGCTTTTTTATCAATGATATTCGCTTCAAGTGAAGGATTATTTCATGTAGTAACTTATATCCGAACGAAGAATAAGTGAATGGTAACTGCTGGAATCTATTTATGAACTGCTAATATATATATATATATATATATATATATATATATATATATATATATATATATATATATATATATATATATATATATATATCTTATTGCACAACCATTTTGTAACTATATTATATGCATATTCATATTCCTTTTATTATAAGCATCCGTTTGACCTATTGGCCTTACTTACTTACTTACTTACTTACTTACTTACTTACTTACTTACTTACTTACTTACTTACTTACTTACTTACTTACTTACTTACTTACTTACTTACTTACTTACTTACTTACTTACTTACTTACTTACTTACTTACTTACTTACTTACTTACTTACTTACTTACTTACTTACTTACTTACTTACTTACTTACTTACTTACTTACTTACTTACTTACTTACTTACTTACTTACTTACTTACTTACTTACTTACTTACTTACTTACTTACTTACTTACTTACTTACTTACTTACTTACTTACTTACTTACTTACTTACTTACTTACTTACTTACTTACTTACTTACTTACTTACTTACTTACTTACTTACTTACTTACTTACTTACTTACTTACTTACTTACTTACTTACTTACTTACTTACTTACTTACTTACTTACTTACTTACTTACTTACTTACTTACTTACTTACTTACTTACTTACTTACTTACTTACTTACTTACTTACTTACTTACTTACTTACTTACTTACTTACTTACTTACTTACTTACTTACTTACTTACTTACTTACTTACTTACTTACTTACTTACTTACTTACTTACTTACTTACTTACTTACTTACTTACTTACTTACTTACTTACTTACTTACTTACTTACTTACTTACTTACTTACTTACTTACTTACTTACTTACTTATTGCCCATTGTGATCTTGTATAATTGTTGTTTTCTACTTTATGGTGTGATGTAGCCTGATTTGCTTGGATATAAACTGCGTACGTCTGGAATACATGATTCATATGGCAGAGGCTGATATCGGTGTTCTGAGCTAAACCGGCAGGGTTAGGCGAGAAACTACTATCTCAGAGGACCAGTAAGAACTCGAATGTGATCATAGGCTGCTCGTACTGGTCGACACTTCATTGGTTTGGTACAGTGCTCATTGCCTCCAGAATCCTGACGTAACAAATGGCATACGAATATATTATCCGCCATCGGCTACTGTGGGACTGCATCTCCCAAAGTTGCTCCATTGCCTTATAGATTAGACCTCTAGGTCAAAGGCTCGGGGTGTGGTGCCCTGAGAAAACTACCTGCTTCGATTTGGGTGCCCGTGCAGCATTCCAGCCCTCAAATCGAATAACAAAGTGTGGTGCATGTATACGTGGTACCTCCTTGTACCAATGTTTATGTGTTTAAATAAATAAAGGGATATACATGAATCAAAACTCGGAGTTATAGTTGGTTATCTTCGAGTATACTGTTCCGTGTATAAAGTTTTGATCGATTCATATTTGTGTTGATGAGTGTTCTGTATTTTTGTTTGTTCTAGTCAAATGGACAAAATCTCAACGAAGATGAAAAAACAATCAAAAAACGTGCACTTGCTTGTCTTGTTATGCTAGCTTGTGCGGCACCTTTGGTAAGTTTAAATTGTTAACGATCTTACTTTTCTAGAAGAGTTGTCTAAACGCATACCTAATGTGTAATTTCTTTAATCTGAAGAATGCATTTATAATCTCTTTATGGTTAACCTCATTACTTCTTGTCATCTGTGTATTTACATTATATGAATTTATTTTTCAACTGTTTGTTCTAGTAAAATATATAGGTTAGGTGATTACTAAATCTGTCAGCAGGCTTCCTTGGCTATAACCCTAGAATCTCGTACCATTGATGTATGCTGTGCTCCGAAACACGATTCTAGTGCTCAAAACACTGTCCCAGGTCTACTGAAACCTCGCTCCAAACTACACATTGGAGCTTTCAACATACGCACTCTATGTAAAATCGGTCAGCAGGCTTCCTTGACTAAAACCCTAGAGTCTCTTTCCATTGATGTATGCTGTGTCTCCGAAACACGCATACAGGATCCTTGTGTGGTCATTCACTTGACCTCACCTCGGCAAAACGGAGAGCCAACGAGATACACCCTCCGTGTATTTGGTGACCCGACGGCCAGTTCTCGTGGACTGGCAGGTGTAGGCATAGCACTAAGCATGAGGGCGGAACAAGCACTGTTAGAGTGGATCCCCGTCAACAGTCGTTTATGTGATGTTCGGCTAAACGGCTCCGTAAGAACTCGGAAGGATAGGGACACACGTCGTTGCCTTTTTGTCGTTTCTGCCTACGCTCCCACTGACTGCAGCTCAGATGATGTGAAAGATGAATTTTACAGAAAGCTTTCTGAACTTCTTCAGAAAGCTAAACGCTCAGACATAGTACTCGTAGGGGGTGATTTTAATGTTCAGATAGGTAGCTTAAACCAAACAGAAAGGCATTTAAATGGATATTTTAGCATTCCGGCACATCGAACAGATAATGGTGACTGTCTGCTGCAACTGTGCTCAGATAATTGCTTATTTTTAGCAAACACAAATTTTAAGCATAAGGAGAGACATCGTCTAGCATGGCTACCCCCTACACCAAACCAACGATGGACTCAAATAGACCATATTGCCATCAGCCATCGTTGGAGAGGGTCGGTAGAAGATTGTCGCTCATTCTGGAGTACCTGCTTGGACTCCGACCATGCCCTAATACGGGCACGCATCTGCTTGCGCCTCACCGGACGCAAAACAGCCACATTAAAAAGACCCATTAGAACTGAGTTGAGTAACGAGAAAACCAAAAGTAGGTTCCAAGAACAACTGATTTCACACTTAGGTAGTTCTGAAGGCGAGGCTGACCCAAATGTCGCTTTGAAAGACATACAAGCAGCTGTGGAAGCATCAGTGACATCTATTAGCAACTTAAACCACAGAGTTTCAAAGAACCAGTGGATTTCTTCAAAGTCTATCACACTGATGGATTCTCGCAAACTCGTCCCATGAGGTTCCGGACATGATGAAGAGCGACAACAAATCAGATCTAGGTTAAGAAAAAGTCTAAGGTACGACCGTGAGCAGTGGTGGGCAACGAAAGCAAAAGAGATGGAAAAGGCAGCGACTATAGAGAACACAAGACAGCTTTACAGACTAATAAAAGAAACGAATTAATAAGTCAAGTGTAAGTGAGATTATATCGGAAAAAGACGATACACTCATCTGCTCCCAGTCCAGGCGTTTAGAACGATGGGCGGAACACTTTAGGGAACAGTTGAGCTGGCCTTCAGCGATTCTACAACTACTGTCCATTCCCAGACAGTGTGAATGGAACATTGAAGTAGGTCCCCCAACTCTAGCTGAAGTTCAAAAGGCTATAGTTAATCTGAAACGAGGAAGGCCAGCTGGTCCAGATGGATTGACTCCAGAGGTCTTTAAGAATGGTGGTCCAATTTTAGCGATTTGGTTGACTAATATTTTAGCTAAGATCTGGGAGTTAGACGTTATCCCACCTTACTGGTCACAATCACTTATTGTCCCAATATATAAGAGAGGGTTAAAATCATCCTGTAACAACCACAGAGGGATTAGTTTAACTAATATAGTATCTAAAGTACTAGCCTCGATAATTATCAGACACCTAAGACTCGTGAATTGCAAACACGAGAGAATCAAGCTGGCTTCAGATCTGGTCGTGGCTGCATCGACCACATATTCACCATTCGCCAGGTTCTAGAACACAGGTATACTTATCGACGTCCGACGATGGTGGTCTTCCTTGACTTAAAAGCAGCATCTGACTCGGTAGACCGCTAGATTCTGTGGCAGCGTCTGTCATTGAAAGGCGTACCCCAGAAGTACATAAACCTTGTAAAGGCTCATTACTCAAGCACTACTAGTCGAGTCAGGGCTTATGGCGAACTGTCATCTACTTTTGCAACCTCAAGTGGTGTCCGTCAAGGCTGTCAACTTTCTCCATTTTTGTTTAACTTCATCATAGATCTACTGATGGAAATAAAATTCTCATCGACTGAATTCTCGGGTATTGATCTCCTTCCAGGAGATCCACTTATCGACTTAGAATACGCAGATGATATAGTCCTGTTTGGTGAAGACGCTGACAAAATGCAGAGTCTTCTGGTAGCACTGAGCAACAATGCCAGAATGTTTGGAATGCGCTTCTCTCCCTCTAAATGCAAGTTGTTGCTTCAGGACTGGTCTGCGTTAACACCTGAACTAAGAATAGGGAGTGAAGTAGTCGAACGCGTTGACAACTTCACTTATCTTGGAAGTCTGATCAGCCTTAATGAGTTTGTGTCTGACGAAATCTCAGCACGGATTCGAAAAGCTCGTTTGGCTTTTGCCAACTTACGTCACCTATGGCGAAGGCGAGATATCCGTCTATCAATAAAAGGATGAGCATACTGCGCGGCAGTCCATTCTGTTTTAATTTACGGCAGCGAAACATGGCCATTAAGAGTAGAAGATACTCATAAGCTACTAGTATTTGAGCACAGATGCCTTAAGAATATTGCTGGCGTCTGCTGGGATCATCGGGTAAGTAATAGTGAGGTCCGACGCGGGGTATTAGGGAATGATGGTAAATCAGTTGATGAGGTTGTGAATCTTCATCGACTGAGATGGTTGGGCCACGTGTTACGTATGCCTGAACACCGGTTACCACGACGTGCAATGCAAACCGGTGCTGGGGATGGTTGGAAGAAATTTAGGGGCGGCCAAACCAAAACGTGGCATCAGTGCTCGAAGTCACTAACTTCTAGTCTTAGCCATGTTGGTAGATTCAGACTACGTGGTTGGGGTTCGCGTGACTATCGAAACCAATGGTTGGAGACTCTTGGTGACATGGCTCAGAACCGATCACACTGGCGTAGGTGTATACACTCTTTGTCTTCCTTTAAACTATGAGATTAAAATCGCTTCATATTTTTCTTTCTACTAATTAATTCTTCCTTCCTATACTATATCCGTATATGCAATCTTTCTTTTAAGTATTACCACCACTGAATGAACTACTTCTATGAATTTGGCAACTTGGACTGATGTATATATGTGCCTGGTCCTATGTTGTACCTGACTTAATGACTGACTGAATCAGAATTTTCATATCTTTCTATTATGTATTGAAATTTTCTGACCTATAGTTTCGCGTTTTGTCATTACAGCTATTAGCTTATCGTTCTATGTCTTCTGCGAACTCGCTGATGTCGTTAAGTAAGTCAACCCACTATCGTTTAGTTCTTAAAAAAATTTAATTAGCCTCGATTGTAATGAGTAATAGGTCATGCATATGTCTACGTAAATGAATTAATCAGAAGTCTACTCTTGTGATTAATGTTATATCCCGGCGAGAATTATGAATGGTAACTCTTGCTAACTATTTATGGACCAATCCGATAAATATATTTTCACTGTATAATTGTTAAGCAGCTGAACTATTCATATTCATGTTCCTCCTATTATGAGCTTTATTTTGACCCATAGAGTTTTATTATATGATATACCGTTATTGATTTCTGACCAGTCTGTTAATTACAGTCTCCCACATTCACAGCCACTTTTGGCTAGATCTTGTACAAATGTCATTTTCTATTTTATGGTACGATGTGGTCTGTTTGGTTTGTATATAAACCTAGTATGCTTGAAATAAATTATTCATATCGCAGAGGCTGATATTGGTGTTCTGGACTCAAAAGGCATGGATAGTCAGGAACAAGGACCGATAGGGACTTTAGACTACTCTTACGGGTTAATGCGTCGTTGGTCCGGGCGATAAGCCACTGTTCTCCAGTTAGCGTTATCATTACGTTATATATATCGACAGGAGCATAAGTTATAACAATTAGCACTACTTAATACTACCAGTTTCTTTTCATGCAGATAGGGTCAACTTTCTCTTACAAACATGAATAACACACTTCTTGTATGGGTACTTATCAGCCTCATATTTATGATAAACTAACTACACTTTGCACCTCCATCCCTATCAAGCCAACCATTTTCTGGACTCTCCAAATATTCTGAAATTTTATGTGGTAGTGTCGCACAGTTTCTTTTAAGTTATTGGTAATTTTGATAAAATGTCCTGGTCAACTTTTTTTCATCCAACACCAGTGTATCAATCTGAAGCAAAGTGGTTAAAGACTTCATTTTCCCATGCAAATGCTTCAGTTCTAGTGAGGTGGTTGACCTCTGTTGTTTTGGGCTACTTCACATTGACTGAAATAACTAAATGTCTTTGAAAAATCAACTGCCTTGGGAGATTATACTCTTCTCTTGCGTATAATTCTTCATCTAGTTTTGATAGCACCACTCGTCTTAATGAGTCTTTTTATTTTACTGTCCGTGGTTAAAGGTAACTTGATTTGGTAAACAATTATCACAAATCTTACGTTGTGTTCGTTTGTCTTTCTATCTGATAGCGTACTCTTGGTATCTTGTTTATAGTTTTACTTACATGTTGCGGTTCTGCAATCAACGGACCTTATGCATTAGTTACAACTGCTGTATCTGCCGACTTAGGTACCCAGTCGGCCTTGCTAGGGCGAACTCGTGCTTTGGCTACAATTACATCTATTATTGATGGAATGGGATCATTGGGTAAGTTGAAACTACAAGACACTTCATATATTGATCAACGCCATTGCTTCTGTTGCACTTCAGTGTATAAATCCTTTATAAATCATTTTATCGAATTAAATATTTCATAGTTTATTGGATACTTTTAAATTAATATGAATAGTTTAAACTGTTTATTATTTAATCATATACTCAATTTATTGGCTAATATTTCTGCTTTTTTAAACACAATTTGGTCTATGGTTCCGGTATGCATCCTGTGAGCAAGTTCCTAATTTCCCCACTTCATCGTTCTAATATTTCTTCAAACCAACCAAATTGTCACATATTTTACAAATCAATCAATCAGTTGATAATATCAACACATTTATTTGATTCTCCTGAAGCTTAAGAAGCTGTTTCTATCACTTTTTCCAATACTTTTGTTTAACTCGTCATTATATGACATGAGGACGAAAAGCGAATGTCCGGCGCTTTAACCGGGTTGGTGGACATGGAGGGTCCATCTAGAGGAGTTGGAAAACCCTGATTCCAAACCAATGGTGCACATGGGCTCCAGTATCCTGAAGGAACAAATGGCACATGAAACAATCGTTGGTCACCGACTACCATGGGACTACATCTCCTTCAGGTCGAAGGCTCCAGGTGTGGCTCCCTAAGAAAACCACCTGCTTCGGTTTAGGCACCCGGGCAGTAAGTATCACAGCCCTCACACATATCAAATGAGATCTGTGTGGCGAATATGTATCTGGTGCCTCCTTGTATCTATGTGACTTTCTTCGGTACAATAGACATTGTTTTAATGTTACTATGTGAAATAATGCATTTTATACAAATATTTGTGCAGTTTCTTTCTTAAAATATCCAACGGTTAAGGTATATTTCGCTTTAAAAATTCACGATTTCCTTTGATGAATGATTCTGTCCAATGTATGGTATTATATTTGTTATGTTTTTATTTACAGAACTGACCAATCATTATCGATTCTGTTGTTTAGTGATGCACCAGGTTAAAGTGTACCAAAGACAAAATGAGGATCCAATTATTGATTTTCTTAAAAGTATTTTTTATCGATAAGGGACAACTTTATTTGTGATGTTTATTTATGCATTACAGGTGCTGCGTTAGGTCCACTTCTGACTGGTTTACTAGTTCCATATGGTTGGTCTGTTGTATTTGCTATGCTTATCACATCCGATCTACTGGCCATGTTAATGTCAATATGGATTGTCGTTAATTCAAGTCGTCGTCAACATCGTCGAACATATTATCGACTTCAATCAACAATTCCTATTTAATTAAAATTTGTTTTTACTTACAGCAAGAAAAAATAACAGCACAAGTCATATCAGTTTCGAAATAGCTGTTAATATATTTTGTCTTTTTCTTTCAGTATGTCATATTGCACCATTTATTATTACTTCAACTGTACGTATATAGATACATATATTCTTATGTGGTAGTTTTTTTTTACAGCCTGTTAGGTTTTTCTTAGAATTCTTTTTGTTACTGAAATGAATGTAACCAACATATCATTATCGATATTATTGTTTATCATTACTATTATTGTCTTTTATGAATTCAGGGCTTTTTCAGGATTCCATGTATATTCTAGACTTTTCTGCCTTGTTTTTCGGTGTTTCTTTCACCTGTTAATTCTAGATAACACATGAATATATTTACTTACTGATGTCTTACATACTTAGGTGTTTGTTTTTATCATACTCATTTTGAAAGTGTTATTATCTGTATGAGAGAAAAAACTGAGTGAACTATAATAAATGTTGACTTTTATCATAAAAGTTTGAAAGTATTTGGGGTGCAGACACATCTAGTTGATGAGTCTTTAGTAGGACGAAGTGCTCAGTGTGGATCCCACTGTTAGACATCATCCGACTTTTATGATAGTCATAATTTAGTCGATTCCCCCACTAATCAAAATAATTTTCTAGTTATTTGTAACTACATATGGAATAATGTCTGAAATATATACTGTAAAATTGCAATTTCTTTAAATAAGCTAAGCTACACTGTTAAAAATGTCTATAGTCGACAGACTGAACTTTGCGCGCAGAAATGATTTAATGTGAGAAGAAACCTTAAGGATTGCAATAATATGCAAAGTTTTAGCTTCTCAATTACTGAGTTCACTACTTACTACCAAGTGAATGTTTTTTCGTAAATAAATAATTAAGTTTAAACATGCCACAGACTCGTTTATCTAGAAATCTTAGTCATTTCATGGTGAACTGCAGATCCGCGGTTTGAAAAATAACTGACAGATTATTTTATATTATGTACTCTATATGTGTGCTAGAATTTGACAATGTTAAGTCTATTGACTAAGTCACCTTTCTGTAAACTCATTCACTGGCTGACGAGGTGTTTGGATCCAATCATCAAGAAACTTTCTCCCTACAGTTTGAAGGATGCTTTCGAATTACTGAGTTCACTACTTACTACCAAGTGAATGTTTTTTCGTAAATAAATAATTAAGTTTAAACATGCCACAGACTCGTTTATCTAGAAATCTTAGTCATTTCATGGTGAACTGCAGATCCGCGGTTTGAAAAATAACTGACAGATTATTTTATATTATGTACTCTATATGTGTGCTAGAATTTGACAATGTTAAGTCTATTGACTAAGTCACCTTTCTGTAAACTCATTCACTGGCTGACGAGGTGTTTGGATCCAATCATCAAGAAACTTTCTCCCTACAGTTTGAAGGATGCTTTCGAATTTGCACAAAACATTAATGGCATAAATGCTTCCGATAAATTTATGGTGTCGTTCAATGTCTCATTTCTCTTCACAAGAATTCCTTTGGAAGAAATTGCCAATATTATATGAATATCCTGAACTCCCTCCTTTACCAATCAATGAATTCAAACATGTTCTGTTCATGTGCACCGAAAATATACAATTTCAATCCAAAACTGTGTTTTACCACCAAATTGATGGATCAGCCATGGGTAATTTTCTGGGTCCAATTCTGGCTGATATATTTATGGGGAACCTAGAACAGATGCATGCAATCGAAGGAATCACACTTGTAGATATGTTGGTGACACATTTCTTGTCTGTAACAATCGTAAACATTCTATGTACCTATTCAATCTGTTCAACAAAAAATATAATGATATAGATCGCAAAAGTACATGGAGTGAAGTTTACCTAAATTACTACAGCTTCTGTCTAATGAGTCACAAAAAACGGGACTGTACGAGCCCATTTTTTGACCGCCCTCATAAACTTTCCTCAAAGTAAAGCCTGGAAGAAGAGTTTATCTACGTGAAAATGCATATCCAGAGAAATTCACTAAGTATATCAAAACCAACGTGTGTTATGTACGACACAGTGGGAAATAGAACCTGCTTCTTATATCTGATTTTCAAAGGAAATGAAATCACTGGAATAACTAACCACAGGATAAATGCCGTAATTAAGGTTGCTTATCCATCAGCAAAACTGACGTTCTACGAAACGAACCGCTCGCTAAAAAAGATTGACAGTTTCTATTTTCTCAGTAACTCCAAATGCATATACTGATTTAAATGTATGTGTCAAAGCACATGCACTGGAGGAACAGGGAGAAGAGTACGTGTTCATATTTCGAATAACGTTCCAAAGAATTTGAGACTAACAGGCACAACGGCTCTAAACAGTACAGTAGCTCGGCATTTAATTGATACCGGGCATACTATTGACATTCCACAACCCCTCAAAATTATCAGCAGACAAAAATACGCAGCGTCTCTCCAGTTTGCCGAATCAGTAGCAAAGAAACTGATTCATGTATCCAGAAAGGGACATTGATAAACTTATCACTACCTTGGTAAAATATTGTTTTTTGTTATCACGATTATTAATATTTATATTGTTATGAGGTCTTTCCTAAGCTAATTTTTACTTCATATCCACCAATATCATCCCTTCATCCATAGGTTTTCATTCACTTAATTCTCTTAACTTATGTAAACTCTTCAAATCCTATTCAATTATTACCCATCTTATCAATTTCTAATTCCAGTAATCTTATGTAAATCTTTTACAACCTCTATAATTATCACATAATCTATCTTAACTGTTTCCAGACCTCATTTACTAATTATTGTCCACCAGGGTGCTTGGTACCTGTGTGGTTGCGCCACAGGATCGAGCTGTACTATTCAGATTGTGGCGTTAAAACCTATACGGTGTCTGGTTCTCCTCTTAAACGGGATTGAGCTATACTGTTTGGGTTGTCACGTGAAAGTTTGGATGGTATCTGGTTCTCCTGAAAACCAATGTAAAATTACCCTGGCTCACAAGAGTATATTATATAACTATGGCCCCCAAATGCCCTAGTACGGCCGAGAATGGAGAGAGTCAACTATCCCGCTCCAAATGGTCTCACATGGCTGCGCGCATATAGCCTCTGCCAGAGAAGTCCTACTCACTGCCTTCTCGTGGCGCTGGTGTTGTTTACGAAATTGAGAGGACGAAAAGCGAATGTCTGGCGCTTTAACCAGGTTGGTGGATATGGAAAGTCCATTTAGGGGAGTTCGAAAAGATTGATTCGAAAACATGGGCTCCAGTATCCTGAAGGAACAAATGGCACACGAAACAATCGTTGGTCACCGACTGCCATGGGACTACATCTCCTTCAGGTCGAAGGCTCCAGGTGTGGCTCCCTAAGAAAACCACCTGCTTCGGTTTAGGCACCCGGGCAGTAAGTATCACAGCCCTCACACATATCAAATGAGATCTGTGTGGCGAATATGTATTTGGTGCCCCCTTGTACCAGTATTTATGTGTTCAATTAAAATAATGAAATTGCCAAACTTACTCTAATCCCCTATGTGTTTTTTTAAATTTCATCTCCAAATGAGACTTCTAACCTATTTGTATTTATAAATATTCTTAATATATGAAATACTCTCGTTTAAACAATATACATTTCCGCCGAATTAAACAACAATAATAACACTCAAACTATTTCATTTTATTTTTTTATTCTGAATTTCAATTGAATCATAATACTTTTTTTAAATGTAAAAATATGTTTGTTTTATTTATTAATACATTTGTAAATTAGTTGCTATGCATATATATATTTTTCTTTTAAAAAAAAAACACATCAAAAATACATTAGGAATGTTAGATTATCAATCTCGATGATGATAGTAGTCATCGGAACAAGTCAACATTTTATCATATATATGTGATTTCAGTTTATGTAAAGTAATATTGATTGAACTGAAGGTTTAAACATTATGTTTTTGTGTGTATATATGTATGGATGTGATTGTGCTTAATAATGTACAACTGTTTGTTGTTTGTATAACGATATTAATTTCATTTTAAAATTTGTGATTTGTTCAGTTTTTTCTTTGTCTCGATCATCATTCATATGAACAACTAATGTAAAAAAGTTTATTTAGAATCAGTTAATTTTACTGAGTGTTTTACAAAATAAACAAATTAAACAAATAATTTTTTTAATAGTTAAGATCATAAGTCAATTGAAGCTAGACCACTATCGAAAACCTGGAAGTACTGGACAGACGTTTTGTCCTATTGTGGGACTCCACAGCAATGAGCATCAACGATCCTGCCTTGCGAGATTCGAACCCAGAACCCATCGGTCCCGCGCACGAATGCTTAAACCTCTAGACCACTGATCCAGCATCCAACGATGTATAATGTCTAACTTCAACTAATCCACAAAAGAATGAGAGTTTGTGGAGATTGTATTAATTTGATAATAATCATCATTTGCTCACTAGTGACTGCCTTCAAGATAGATTTCCTGGAGTTCTAGTGAGAAGCCGTGACCATTAGGGTTCAACTGTGTCTATTTTTTTAAAGCTTTATTCAATATTATATTTTTGGTACAATATAGAATTCTCAGCGTAAAGTATTTCAACAAGTTTCCGTTTCTTTCTTCTTGGTCGATCCTGGCGATAAATATTGAGTGATCACTAGTTAGATGTTAGCAGTTCAGTAAATGAACACCTGAATAATGTACATTCTTTTCGTTGTATATTGCCAGCAACCACATTGTCTGTTATTGAGTTTTTTGTAACTTTGACAACGAAAGGTTGTACACTTTTCAGAAACGCAGCAGAATAGGTTATGCGATTGATAAGCATAATGATATATTAAAACAAACAAAAATAGATAACTTGTTGAAATATCTAGATGGCAGGAACAGGTAGCCCAGATGCTCAAGCAGGCCAGCCTTTATAGGGCGACACTCATTGAAGACAATGGTGGACGGTCGCGCAATATCGTGGATTGGTTGAACTTAGACATTAACACTGTTGAATGCCGGCTCAGTGGTCTAGTGGTTAAGCGTTCGCGCGTGAGACCGATGGGTTCTCATCTCGCAAGGCGGGATCGTTGATGCACACTGCTGTGGAGTCCCACAATAGGACAAAACGGCCGTCCAGTGCTTTCAGGTTTTCCATGATGGTTTGACTGTAATTGACTCATGAATTCAAATATTAGAATAGTTTTTAATTGATATCCATTGAAAATTATCAGCTTATAATGTAAATATAAAATCTATTCAGTGTATAGATGGTCGTAATAAACCGAAACAGTAAATAAATACTTTTCTTTCCTACAAATTACCCTTACAGTTAGTTTATAGTAATTGTTTCAAATATCCAGTAAATGTTGTTAATATTACTGATTTCAAATACAACACAAACGGTACAAGTTTCATAAAAAAATATTTTGTTCGCATTAGTTTTTGACAAAAAATGTTTTATAGGTTTCCGGACATTTTCCTAATATCGTTAGAATTTAATAA